ATAAGAGCAACAAGAAGGGAATAATATCAATAAGAGACAATAAGAGCGACAAGAACCTAATAGCAATGGTCGCCAACCTAATAGCATTGGAGCACATTGGATTCATCTCTTTTGGTATCGAACTGCCGATCTGCCCATGTATACTCCCCAAGCAAGGAACACTGGGTGGTGTAACTTCCAGGGGCGCAAGGGCTCCGAGTGCTTCATCTCGAGTTGTTGCAACACCTACCAACTGATCAGCTGTAGCAATTCAACAGTGCAGTAATTTGAGCCCTCTGTTATATAACAAGTTCAAACGCCCGTACTACAAACATCAACCAAAGACATGCAAGCACCGACTGTCACTCCAGTCTCAGCCACAGGAAGTCATAAAGGCTTTGTTCTTGTTCACTTGCAAACACAAGGATATATGATAAATGCCATATAATGCCATACAATGATACATGTTCTTGTTTTTGGTTTTGGGAATGCTTTCCTTTTCTTAATTTTTCTCGGTCCACCTGGACGGACGCGTGCAGCTGCTTCAGGAGGCTCAACGGATTGAGGAGCTGCTTCAGGAGCACGACGGCTTCCGCTCAAAAGGTTCAAGCATGGTCTTCTTCTCGGATTGTTTGCGTGGTCGAATTAGGTTGAATCAGGAAGGCTTTGATGGATGGAATATATACCGTTACGATTTGTTGTGGTGATTTTTAGGGTAAGCTTGAACTGGCGATTTGGGTGGTCATTTGTGGCAAGACTTGCAAGCAAAGTCCAAGCAACATAGATCTGTCTCTTAAGGAGACAAGCCTCCCTTTTTCCACAGGCCTGTACAGTAAGGCCATGAATGGATGGCTCTTTACTCTTTCTGCAGGAGCGCGCAGAATGGCAGGAGGAGCGTTCCCGCTTACGCCTGGTGGCCCAGCGGAACGTTTTTCCGCAGATAGCCTGGCACCTCGGCGCTTCCACTGAAACGGCAGGTTCGTTCAATCCACTTTCGGCAGGAGTCCACGATGTTTTGCAGATCTGAAAACATCCAAACCTCACAATCCTGTAGTACCGGACCGAGTCTTTGTCACTCTTGGTATGCTTTTTTTAAAGCTCGGTGTAGATCTGGGTTGATGGGCAAAGTGCCCGTTTTGTCTTCCCGTTGAGTTCTGCCTTTGGATTCACCGGTCGCAAGGTGAAGAAGTGGAACTCTTGAAGAGTCGTGTGGCAAAACTCGGGGGAGAAGCGATCCAGGCGAGGTCTTCCGCGCGAAGCCAGCGAGGTCTTCCGTGCCTCGAGGCGAAGGCTCATGGGAAAGAGGCTTTCTAAGTGTCGACCAACCTCCAATGCCATGTCTTCGGTAGCTTCTTGTTCCTAGTAGTAATGCCAGGAGCTACTAGTAGCTGCTTGCTACTAGTAGTAACGCCCTTGTTACTACTAGCGATGCCCTTGTTACTAAGGTTGAGAAGCGCGATGCCGAGACGCAGACGGAAGAGCCGGAGAAGGCACAGCGACGACATGAGCTGGTCGTATGGCTGGCGAGCATGGTCGCCTTAGGCTTCGTCCTAAGGCTCCGCGCTGCCCTCACCTAGCTGCAAAAGAATCAACAACTACTCCGCACAGCATGGCAGAACACCTGTAAAGGTTTTTTTTTGACCCTGTTTACCTGATATCCAACTCATAAGCTTATTTTTTGGAGGAGCGTTTGGACCTTTAAGCAGATGATCGGACATGGTCTTGCTTTTGCTCGCCAGGAGTCTACGACGTCTCAACCTGCTGAGGTCCCTGTCAATTGCAGGGTATTTTGGACAGTTGAAGATGATACACACTTGTGGAATTAGCAATAATAATAGCTATTGCCTCCAACCTACTAGCGATGGTCTCCAACCTAACTCCAACCTAATAGCAATGAAGATGATACTTGTGGTAGAGGTATGTAGAGGTAGTGTAGTCTACCTGACCTGCCTAGCTACATGCTGGTGAACAGTTGTAGGACGGAGAGAAACGCAAAAGAAACACACCAGAGGTCAATTGGACAGGATACTTGGGCTTATGCTGCAGGCAGATGGTTTGCATGGTGTGCTGGCAGGAATGTTGCGGTCGCCAGAGGAGCAGCGCAGCCAGAAATCTCATGAAATATAGGTTCACAAAGGACTCATTGTGAGATGGCCGCAAAAAGGATCATCCATGTAGTAAGACGCTACTAGGAGCAAAGGGCATCGCTGCTACTAGGGGCTCCTGGCCTTACTGCTAGGAGCAAGGACACTACTAGGAGATGTAGCTATGTGGCTCGTGTTTTGGTTGGATGACCCTTTAACCCCAGGCAGTGAACATATGAATTGGCATTCACTGCAAGCGTCCTTGCTCCTAGTAGCGATGCCAGGAGCCCCTAGTAGCTTCTTGTTCCTAGTAGTAAGGCCAGGAGCCCCTAGTAGCTTCCTTGCTCCTAGTACTGATGCACCGATGTACCAGATCCCTTTGTTCACACGACTTCCTTGGCGTCTCGAGGACGAGGCGCTCCAGCTTGCCGGGATCGAGCAGCTCTTCGTGGAACAAACACAGGAGTGGCGGGCGACTGGCGGTGTGGCGGCTGTGAAAATGGGCCGCCGGGGTGAGCTGGGTGGTCGCTGTGGTTACTTTCGGACCTGTAGCGCACTTTCGACGGGGCGGCATTTGTGATCATGTAAATTAAGATACCCCACAAACCACTGGCAAAGAAATCGTGTCTTCTGTCTTCAGACAAGCGGTTACGTCTGAGCTCTCAGGGCCTTGTAACAAGTAGACATGCCCTAGCCGCTAGCCCAGGGTACAAACAAAACGATGCATTTGAAGACGTCCAGCACCATACTTGACCGCCCCTGATAGAGCGTTTGCAACGTGTATCATACCGCCAAACGACACTCCACCATTATCTTAACACATGATGAACCTGAGTACAATACTAGTACCACGAACGCATATATAGTAGCGCATAGCTCAGAGGTCAGAATTTCTTCCCAGAACCAGCTAGGGAACAGCCTAGGTTTGCGGCAGGCTAGCCATGGCTTCTCATAACTTCCCAGCCTAGCCATGTTCCCAGAACCAGCCATGTTTCAGGCGGGTGCCGCTCAGCTGGAGTCAACACCCCAGCTGCATCAGAGCCTCGAGGCGTTCCGCACGGACGAAGAACGACGCCTCTTTGGCGTTTCTTTTTGGGGTTTCTTGAAGAAAACCACAACCAAGAATCCAGAATCATCTGCAGAATAATCCAATCAACAACAAAACATGCATTCTTTAATAAAGATGATTAAGTAATTTGATTGACAAGAATTTAAAGAAGGATCACGGGACAGTCCCCTCTCACAAGTGGTTGCCGAGTATGGATCGGTCAACCCCGGAGTGAAGCCAAGCAGTGTATTGAGCTCACCGATTTCTTATTTTACCCGCTGGTTTGGAGCTTTACTTTTTTTTTGCATTTTTTTAACACCGAATTTCCTGTTTGAGTTGGTCGTTCTTCCAACATGGCACCGACTCTCGCCCGGCTCGTAGGCGGCTGTGGCCATTTTCGTCCACCACCAAAGCAATTGGACCCTCTTGCTGAAGGCGTTGAAACGAGGACAGACACCGCCAGGAAACGACCTGTTTTCTCGCCTTTCAGAGCCACATGATCGCACAACGAAGGAGACGCGTTTCCGTTGGTGTGTTCCTTTTTTTGTGAGGTAACCGGGTTTGTGGGGCGAGATGAATCTACAATTTACAGGTGATTGGGATTGGGTACCCGCAGAAGTATCTTATCTTGAGCGGTGTGGGATTGTGGGAAGTTCCATGTGTTTATGTTTGACAATTCCTAACCTTATTTGTTGTCAGTTCAGTGAATTGATCTATATGTTTGAGGCATCACAGTTTCTGTCGGTGCTGCTGGCAGCCGTGACCTTGGCCGAATGATTGCTCAACTGCGTATCCTAAGCTGGACTCTTTTGAATGCACAGATCGAAGGCTGAAACGACCATCGCAGCTGCTTAAAGGCTTACCCGCGCCCACGCGACCCGCGCGGGTCGGGTCCCCGGTGTTTGCGGGGTTCCGCCGATGGCCAGGTCGCACCTGGGCTGGTGCCTTGTAGCACTTTGTGGTTTGGGACCACTGTGGTGCTTCACTGCGAGGCTTTCCTCCACTGGCCATGGTGCTTTCCGATTGGCCGGGTGCCAGCCCAAGACCAGAGAGGGCCTGAAGCCTATGAGGCTTGGCCCCGGTGGAGGTACTGACCCAGTGAATAACGTTTCTCCAGAGCTCTCAGCGGCTGGCCGAAAATATGCTCAACGTTATGAGGACATTATGCTGGCTGGCAGGAAACTCTGGACCACAATGCTCAAAAGGGACGATGTGCCCAAGAAGATCTACTTCATTGGTACCAATGGTAATTCAGGGAAGCTCATTGCAGAGGCTCTGATGGATAGCCTGGCTTATGTTCCAGCACCTGATGGTACAATGTTCCTGCGCCGGAAGCCAGGGGTCGAGTACCCGAAGCTGGTCTATTTCTTCGTGAACAGCGATGAGGCGCTGGCGCGGGAGTCGGACATTTCATCCGTGGACCTCTACATGGAAGATGAGAAGCGCTACCGGGAGATTGAAACCGAGGTCCTGAAGAAGTTCTCAGAAGAAGACACTGGCACCATGCCGGCGGGCTGCGTCGTAGGTGAGAGTGCAGTAGATACACCCGAAAATCTGGAGATTTTGAAGAAAGGCCTGGTGATTTGGGTTGATGTGTCCGCAGAAACCAGCTGGAGCAGGACACAGATCAGGCCAAAAGCCGGTGGCGGACTTTATGTTCGTTTTGAGAAGGTCCGGCCACCTGTTTGGTGTATCGCCAGTGGCTGGGATGGAGACATCGATGATGGGGAAGCCAAGGCAGAGTATGTGGAAAAGGTCAACGAATACAGAGACAAGTATGAAGCGATTGCTGACCTCCGCATTCGTTCGGATGTCCCTGGCATCCAAGAGAACCAGTACTGGGGAGCTGAGCGCTTGCTCAAAGCCATTGCTGAGTTCTATGGCATTGACAACGAGGATGCATCCGTCGAAGAAGAAATGCTGGAAGCAGACTTGGAGAAATTTTTGGAAGGTGCTCGCCTCTCCAAATACCTGCAGCCAGCCCTTGACTGGTGCGATGAGCAAGGTGCTGCGAGCATCGATGACGTGGTGGAGAATGCGGATGACTTCGCTGATGCTCTTAGTTTAAAGCCACTCGAGCGAAAGCGCCTGGCGAAAGCTGCAGAAGCCGTAGCCGCCGTGGCGTGACATGCTCCAATCATTGAAGAAAACAAGTGTCGCTTGTTGTCACAACCAGTCAAATATTCGAAGATGTGAGCAGTTGGAACCGCATTTTTTCTCCACCGGGAGGGGTTGGGCAGTCTTGCAGAGTTCGAGGAACCCTCTGCGCAGCAGCTGCTGCCCCAGGCACAGCTCCAGCGCACCGCACAGGCGCTTTTTGTTTCCAGTGCCCCAGCACCATCCACCTCTGTGCTTCAACATCAGAGGGGTTCGAAGGTTGGACCACCATCACCCTGGGCGGGGAATCATGGTCATTAGATGTCATTAGTTTGTTTTTTTGTTCCCAAGATGGTACAAAGATTCTCTGTTGAAAACGGTTTTGCATTTTGAGAGCTCCAATCTGTTTGCCTTCGACATGTTGGAGGCTGTCCTTGGTGCAAGCACGACACTTCTGGAGAAGACGGCTGGGCTTAGCAGTCTGGCGCAAGCCGGCTACCAGGCCCGGGTTGGAGTCCTCAAGTCCTTGCACTTTGCAGGCGGAACGCTCTCAAATCAATACTTTGCAGTGCACTAGGGAGTCGAGATTCAAGACGCTTCTTGTGATTTGTGTCGCCTGGCCCTTGATTGCAGGCAGGACCCAGCCCCACGAAACTCTTCACGTGGCTGCTGTCACTTCTCTCGCTCTTGCTGCGCTGCACTTGGAGATGGCCATCAGCCGTGAGTCAAGATTTGCACTGCTCGCAACGATGGGAGATGATAGGCACTTGTCATTCATGCTAAAAAACCTGTTAGGCATCCGGGCTCCAGATTCAATTGGCTCCCTTTTCGCTACCAGAGTGTTCCAGGGTGATCAGATCCGATTTCCTCCCTTTCCTCGCCCGGTCCCACCGATCACCTTCTTGAGGCCAAGCCTGGAGACCTGGCTACGGCAAAGGCAGCAAAGCGAGGACCGGAGCAGAATCCAATGATCTCCGTGGATGAGTCAAAGCATGTCAAAGCAAATCGATGGGGAAAATACTCCTACGGACCCATGAGGACCCCCTTGATCCCCCTTGCAGTCCCAATGATTGGTGATGATTTGCTTGGTGCTTGGAGCAGTTTCCTGCTTGGAGCAGGGTGATTCGTGGTCGTTGGAGTTTCTATGAATCCCAATCTGCCGTTCGCGTTTCCAGGCCTTTGTCCATAGCTTGATGCACGTCCTGCACCGAGATCGACTCGAGAGAGTGCGTATATAGCTGAATTGTTTGCACTGGTCTTGGAAGACAGCTGTGTGGCTGGCCTTGAGATGCCTTGAATCCCCTTGAATCATCTTGGATCTAGTTCTCCTTTTTTGAGCTCAACACTCGGGATCATGTCTCTTTGTGTCAAACTCCTTGTCAAAGTAGACTTCTGACATCTTCTACTTGCAGCAACTTGCAAGCTGGCTCACATCCCAACATGTTTTTCACACCACGACCAGGGCGTGGTGAGTCGACTTCTCGCCGCCTCTGAGTTGCCTTCAGAGGCCAGTGCAGCAGCAGATCATACGTATAAAGAGAGGAGACAGTATAGGAATGCCTCATGATTGACCACCTAATTACCGTAGGTCAGTTTAGGTGCACATCTAGCCAACAGCTGAACATCCCCTGCTAGTCCATTCTGTTCGCTGCTTAAGAGGAACAGTTGAAACATGAAAAGAGCCTCTTTCGATTCTCGAGGCGTTGATTCTGAAAAGCGTGCAGCTTTTGCCGCTGCTGCCCATGGAGACATGGATTCAGCAGGTGCTGCACCCAGAGTGCAACTCACAGTTCCAACATGTTCCACCCTTTAGGTTTTCACCAAGATCCACGAGGTCCTTCTCATCTTCTTACTAATCCTTCACGTGCGTAGCAATGTTTCGCTATAAGTTATAAGCTCGAGTTGAATGTGCGAGTGATGTTGTCATCATACCAGAAACATCCAGAAACCGATTGTTCTCCTCCTTTGTGGGCCAAAAACGCACCGCAGATGTGTTTGGAGAGCGGGGCCATACACTCCTTCGCACTGGTGAGACAGCGCGTTGCCTCCAAAAGAGGTGCGGCTTTTTCTGACCATCATTTTTTGGTCGTCCGTGTGGTGGATGGTGTTGGAACAGGGTCGAACAAGACGACCAAAAACACCACAAGGATGACCAAACAGTGTCCCAACTCATATCGATTCGTTTCGGTTTGAAGAAGTCCAAGAGACACGTCGGGCCGTGAAGTCCACGAATTCACATCTCGGGGTCTCCGGGTCAGGAGCCGAGTCGGGAGATTTGCAAGATGCCACCTTGTCTAAGGCACGGTCAAACAGAGGGCCATGTGACCGCGATATGCTTGTGATATCTTGTGATAACTAATTGTAGCAGTGATTTGGATGTCTTTCATGGCAATTGCACCAAGCAATCTCAGATCTTCTGGTACTTTTTTGTGCAGGCAGTGCAGAGTGCCATTCGTGGAGTGCATGGGGACCAAGGGGTGAGGTCAAGGGGACGCAATATCGGATCTAGGCTAAGGCTCTTGTGGGAGTTGGAAGCTGTTGCTGATAGTGATCTCTGGGTTGGATCAGGCGAACATGGTACAAGACGTAGATAGGAAAGCTATTCCCAACATTTCCCAACCTACACTGTTTTACTATTCTTTCAATCGACTTTAGGGTCGCAAGACTGCATGGTGCCATGTGGAGGTTCAGCGGAAATCTGGAGCTCTGCTCGTGGGCTTTGAGCGATGCCTTTGTGGGAGACACCTTCGTTTGCATCGAGGCGGCTCTCTTCGCCGGGCGCAAACCACCTTTCGACGCCCCATGGCGAGACATGGCGAGATGCAGATTGATTCCACAAGCAGACAGTAACAAGAAGCTACTAGGGGCTCCTGGCATTACTACTGGGAGCAAGGACGCTACTAGGGGCTCCTGGCATCACTACTAGGAGCATTCTTGCTTCTAGTAACAAGAAGCTCCTAATAGCATCCATCGACATGGCACATGCGTTCTGAAGATGGACACTGGTCTCGCATCCGATCATCAATCACCTTACTCAGCCTTACGCCTTACCTCATCTCACACCTCGCCTGGTCATCCAGTGAATCCGTTCGGAGGTTCTGGAGGAGCTTCAGAGCCTGGAGCAACAGAGGAGGGGCACCTTCCGCCGCTTGGACGCGGACTTCGACGTGATTTCCAAGGCGAAGCGGACTGTTTGGAACTGTGGGGGGAGAGGAAGGCGGGAGACGAAAGACGTGGCATGGCCGTTGGTCCGTGGACCAAGAAGGTTTCCTTCTAACCAGGCTGCGAGCGGGCTGGGAGCAGTTGATGAGTTCAGAATCTTGAAGTCCAAGAAATGATCATCGAAACCCAAAGACCTGGTCTCCCAGCGGAAGGCTTTTGTTGACACAAGAGCTGCCTGGAGGTCATGTCACTCTGGGCATTTCACCAACGGCAGACGCTGGAGGCTTGGTGCCAAGATGACTTGAACCAACAAGAATTGAAGATTTTAGACAGGGTGATGACCCCGACCCCAGGTCAATCCATGTTGGAACCACGTTTGGGTCCATGTAGATGTTCAAGAGTTGCGGAGTTTGGAAGTTTGGAGTGGGAAGTCTCTGAAAAGGCGCTGCGGTGCTGCCAGGACCCTGAGCCCAGCAAGAGCAGCTCTCTAGCAGTGCTCAAGAAAGCAGGTGGCCCCAGCCACAAAACGAGGGCGGGTTGGTGGCGATGCGGAATGATTGTATGGCCGAGCCATGACAAATACATTACATATTTGGCGTCGATTTCTGTGGTGAAACCCTTACAGTGGGTTAAAGCGCTTAAAGGCTGAAGAAGGAACTTCAGGACTTGGTCCTACCCGAGGCCGCAATGCTCATGCAAGGGGTCCTTGTGAAGTTGCTGCCTGGACGCCTCCTTGAGCGGATGGAGGAGACACAGACCGCTGGGGTGACCCAAGCAGACACTGCAAACCCTCTGCCAGTGGCCCGACTTTTGATCTCATCACCACACGTAACATGTCTTCAGAGAATTCAAAGAAAACGTCCACAGAAAAGTCATTCTGTCTCATTTGGAGATCTTCAGTTGCATAACCTGACCCATCACCTGATCTCAACACACACACCTCCAATCCCTACTCCCTTCGATCAGTTGCGCCTGGACGGAACTGTCAGGAGTTTCAGGAGTCGGAAGTCTTGGTGCGCATCGTCGGGGCCTTTTCGGGTGGAACCACGGTGGGAACCATTCCACACGCGGTGCACGTGCTACACAGCGCTAGCTTGACGTGCTGAACAGGCGCTGGCTGCTGTGCACAACAACGCGCAGTTGAGGCATGGTGTTGCCACGGCTGGGGCCATGGCTGGCCGTGGATGCCCTTCACATCCACGCAATTCTACTTCCACTTGCGGTGTGGGCCAGGTTGCAATTGGCAGTGAACTACTCCGAGAACAACGTCGTTGTTGTAATGGTCACGTGCCTGCAGGCAGGTAGTGGGCTTTCTGCGATAGGGCTTGGTCAGCATCGAAATCAGCGAAGCCGTGAGAGTTTCCATTCCACAACACATTCCAGCATCCATACCGTATGGGTTGGACCAAGCCTCTATTTCTCCAAGCTATGATATAATATGCGACTTGCATGATTGGTTCATGAATTGGACACATCCACGTCACATGATGTTTATTTTTGCAATACCCGGCGGTTGATTCAACAAACTTCCTACTTTCGCGATTCCGAAGTGGGCCCAAAACCACATTTGTCCTGTCCTGGTCCAGATGCTGCTGCGGGGCTACGAGCTGGAGCATTCTCCGAGCACAACAGAGGTGGAGGTGGGAGAAGCCGGGAACAGGATGAAAGAGGTGGTAGCTCCAAACCGGAAGCGGAAGTCATTACGCCCACGTTTTTCGGCGAAGCATTCGAAACAAAATTCCCAAAGCTTCATCTGCCGGGACGCAATCCGGCACCGGTTGCCGACTGCACCGGACGAGTTTGCACCGCTACAGGTCGCCTTTGGTCTCCTGGCAGAAGACAAGCTGCCAGCGGACGGCTGGCCCTGGACTCAGGAGGAGGGCCGGAGGGTCCTAGAAGGCCCTCACATGGGCCCTTCGAAGAAGCAATGATCATACCCAAACGCTACTAGAGAAGCTACTAGTAGCTAAGGGCACCGCTACGAGCAACACCTATCTATCTATCTATCGATCGATCTATCTATCTATCTATCTTTCTATCTGTTTGTATGTACAGCCCATATATACTCCGCTATAGGTACTGCAGACACGTGACTCTTGACGTATTTTGGCTCAAGGGAAAAAGGCGTTCCGTAACGTCGAAACCTCGTTTTCATGGTAGCGCACGAGTCCGGTGAAAGTGACAGGGACAAAGCGCTGCGCATAAAGGAAGAAAGACATAGTAAAGTCGAGAGCTCCGAGGAGGAGGAGCTGGGAATCTCGGGAGCGGCAGCTTCTGCCGCCCCGAGTGGAAAAGAAGAAGGAGGAAAAGGAAAAGAGGAGGAGACAGAGCCTTTGCCAGCCACATCAGCGGCGGAACCAGCCGCAAACACCACTCCGGCGGTTGTAGAAACTGCCGAAACAACATCAGCGGTTGAAGGAACCGCGGAAACAAAAGAAGAGGAAACAAAAGAAGAGACCACAAAAGAGAAAGGAGGAGAAGAAGAAAAGCCTGAACAAGACCCCATAGTAGAGCCAGAGGCTGAAGCGGCTGATCCAGCCGCACGGCCATCCTCATCTGGCCGAGTGATCGCCGACTTCCAAACCTCCCCAGAAGGTGTCAAAACAGGTTGGGAGGTTCGTGGCATCCACGCCAAATATACCCCAGCCAAAGTTGATCCCAAAGCACCTTGGAGGGTAAAGAAGAACATCTGGGGACAGGTCAAGAAGCATCCAGAGCCACAATCCGGATTTCGACTTCGAAGCAAGACTTCGCTTCAGTACCGTAGGCTCAAGGACCTGGTCAGGCTGGAGAAGAAGAAGGGTGTCATCACAGAGGATCTGAGGAGGCGCATCAAAGAGTTTGGAAAGGGGCGCACTCCACAAGAGATCAAAGAAGAGCGGGAAGAGCAGAAGGTCCGCAATCAAGAGAAGCGGGCCAAGAAAAGGAAGACCTCAGAAGCGGCTGATCCAGCCGAGGAGGAGGAGGTCGAAGAAGAAGAAGAGTCGGTGAGCCATCCAAGTCCGGTTCGACAGCCTCGAACACCGGACGGGCCACCGCCGGCTAAGCGACCGCAAACCCGCGACACTCAGCGGGGACGGGCGGTCTGGGGGCGTGCACTGGAGTTGAACCTCCGCATCATCGCCCTAGCCAACGAACGGGCCCAGCGATTGACGATAGAAAATTGGAAATTGGAGAGCCCGTTCCAAGTGCGAAAGTTTGCGGCCGACGAACTTTGCGAGCAGCGGAATCTCAAGGGTACCGTTGCATTGGCCGCCATTCGCGAATTGTGGAAGACCCCCAACGAGCAAGGAAAGAGAGGATCCAACGAGGCCTGTAGTTCTTGCGACGAACGGCGGCAGGCACAGCTGCCGGTGGTGAAGGACTACATCAAGCGGCGAGGACTTAAGGGACCTGCCGCGCTTGGATCGAGCGCCAAGTCCAAAGCGGCGCCGGCTGTGAGCCTGACACCTGGGCCGAAAGTGAAGGCCAAATCGAAGGCCGGACCAAAAGGAAAGGCCAAACCATCCGCCGCGCCAAAAGTAGCGGCTGAAGCGAAGGCCGCAACTGTGGGTCGTCGCCCGGAGGAACTCACGCGAACTACTGTTGAAGTTCGCGGGGTACCAAAACCCTCCGATCCTTGACCGGGCGAACCGCCCGCGACTGCCGCTGGAAAAGGAGTGAGCGGCAGCAGCATCAGGGGGTTGAGGGCAGGAAACCATGGAACAACAGATCCAACAATTGAGTGACATGGTACTTCAACTCCAACAGAACCAAGCGAGGTTGGAGCAAGAGAATCAAGTGTTGAGGGAGTCTCAAGGTGGGGTATCAATGCTAGCTTCAGCTGTAGGAGAATTGGCTAAAAGCCTTGAGAGGAAAGATGATAGGAAGAAGTCCCAAATCCTCATGGACACCAAAGGGTTAGGACGCCCCGAAAGTTTTGGAAATGTTGAAGGGGATTTTCGGAAATGGGCCAGGAGCATTGATAACCTGTTCATAACTACTTTTGGGAGAGAGTTCATTGAAGTCCTGGAGTATATTTTGGAGCAGGAAGACGCGATTGAAATGAGTGCTATGGAGTCCGCATTTGGGACTGGAACCATAGCAGCTATCGATGATTTGGAGGATAAAGCTGACCAAATTCATCGCGTGCTCCTGACCCTGACCTCGGGTGAAACAGAGGATTTGATGGTAGGAGCTTCAAATGGGTTTGAAGCATATCGGCGAGTTCACCGCCGTTGGGATCCCCGAACCTCGGGACGGAAACGCAATATACTTCGAGCGATTCTCCAACCGGAGAGGGTCAAGACATGGGCCGCGGTGAGGCCAGCGATCGAACAGCTCGAAGAGCTCATCAGGCGGTACGAGTCCCGGAGGAGTGCCGCAGGGATTAGGGAAACCCTATCGGACGACATCAAGTCCGCTTCATTGGAGATGCTGGTACCCCCAGATCTAGAGAAACATCTTTTGTTGAACAAGAGTAGATTGACAACCTATTCGTCGATCAAGCAGGAGATTGAACTTGTCATTGAAACATCCCTCACATCAAAGTCATCTGTTCCAAAACCAGGTTCATCAAGTTCAAGTTACCAAGGACCTCAACCCATGGACGTCGATTCGATCGGACAATGGATCGCAAGCCTGGTCAAAGGAAAAGGTAAAGGAAAAGGTAAACAGGCCAAAGGTGATGGAAAGAAAGGCTCAAGCAAAGGGGGTTCAAGTAAAGGCTCAAACCCGGCTCAAGATATTACCTGCTACAATTGCGGTAAGAAAGGACACCGAGCGGCCGATTGCTGGAGCAAGAAACGGCCGGATGGAAAAGGCGATAAGTGGTCAGGTTCAGGCAAAGGAGACAAGAGTGGTAAAGGTGGCAAAGGCAACAAAGGCAAAGGTGGAAAAGGCGGCAAAGGCAAAGCCGCAGGAAGTATGGAAGAGATGGACGAACCGGATGATGGCATTGAGCCAGCTCCGGAAGCCGATGTCGGCATGCTCATGGCAGACTTGAGTGGAATTGGAATGGCGGATACCTCATCCGCCGAAGAATGGATGAAGTTTAACCTGGACACTGGAGCAGCCCAGACAGCCATCCCGAATGGCTGGGAGGATCGAGTGGTTGTCAGTGAAGGTAACGGAGTTGTGTTCAAGACTGCATCAGGAGAGTTGGTGCCCAGTCAGGGCATTGGAACCTTTGAAGGGTTCGACGAGAGCGGCAACAAATGCCGTGTGAAAGGTTCAATGGCTGATGTTCATACGCCATTGATTTCAGCATCCAAGTGCTTAGGCTTTGGAAGGATTGCAGTTCTCGATGCAAAAGGCGGAAACTTGATTCCGCAAGGGTCTAAAGTTGGAAAGGCTGTCCAGGCGATCCTGGAGAAAGCGAACGCTGCAGAGCAGCGGAGTTGAACCGACAAAGGAATGCTGTGGCATCGCAGAGTTGAACGCCACAGGAGAGAGAGGAGATGCCTCTATGGATTCAGGCCGACCTGGTCCAGAGGGGCGAGAAGAGGATGATGAGTTGGAATTAGTTGATGAGGTTGAGAAACCCATCCAGATAAGAGCACCGGAGGACCCAACTCCGGCTGAGATAGAAGAGCACGAGGCGACAGGCCATGTGCAGTATCGAAGTTGGTGCCGGCATTGCATTGCTGGACGGGCTGTGGGACAGCCACATCGGACAAGGTCCGAGGAAGAGAAGGCCAAGAGCCTTGTGCCCACAGTGGCAATGGACTACACGTTCATGTCACGGGGCGGTGTGGAGGACGAGCGAGTGAAGCCGATCCTCGTAGTGAAGGATGAGAGGACACAGTCCTTAGCGGCGACCTTCGTGGACTCGAAGGGAGCGACGCCGTATGCAGTGAAGTTCGTGGCGAACTTCCTGAAGAACTTGGGACACCGCAAGGTGGTTCTCAAGTCAGATGGTGAGCCATCAGTGGTAGCCTTGAAAGAGGCAGCGGCGAAAGAAACCGGCATAGACTGGGTTTCGGAAGAGTCGCCAGTAGGAGACCATCAAGCGAATGGTCTGGCAGAGAACGCCTGCAAGGAGGTCAAACGTCAAGTACGAGTCCTCCGCAGCGCGTTGGAAGAGAAGCTCGGCAAAGAGCTCAAAGATGATGATCCTGCATTGGCATGGCTGCCAAGACAGGCAGGAGACCTGTTGAGCAGGTACAAGAAAGGTCAAGATGGCAGAACGCCTGAGGCCAGAAGATGTGGAAAGCAATGGCGGAAACCTGCCATAGCCTTTGGCGAACGCCTATACTTTAGGGAAGTAGGCGAGGGAGTTCGCAGCCTGAAAGAAGGACGCTATGTAGGACACCATGGCCGAACAGGATCCATTTTGGTGATGACGGCCAATGGCGTGCGAAGAGGCACAGGAATCCGGCGGCTGAGTTCAGCCGACCGCTGGGACCCAAGTGATTGGGACCTTTTGCGGGGCTTACCGTGGGAGCATTCCGCGGCAAGGCCTGCCGGCGAGCAGCTGATGCTCGAAGAGCGCCTTGTGGTACCACCTCCCAAGGAGGAACGAGTGGCACCACCACAACAGAGGCGGGTGTACATCAGGAGAGAGGATGTGCACAAGCATGGAGCCACAGAAGGCTGCCCAGGATGCAAGTGCATCTTGGAAGACAAAAGGACGACCTTGCCGCACACAGAGGCGTGCAGAGCAAGGATCACCGAAGCAATGGAAAAGGACGAAGCAGGGCAAGCGAGACTTGAAGCCCATGCAAAGAAGAGGAAAGAACGGCAACAGCTTGACACTGTGAAGCCGAAAGTCGTGGCCGACAAGGACTCCGACATCCCAGCCGAAGACGCGGCTGGGGAACCAGAGAAGAAGGAAGATGCAAAGAGCGCAGGGTCGGGAAGCTCACCGCCAGCAGCAGCAGAAGGTGAGAAAACCTATCCCGATGACCCGAAAGAGAGATATGAGATGAAGAGGCAAGCAGCCGAGGTAGAGAAGAAGCCAGTGGCGAAAGCCAAGGTAGCAACAGAGCCCAAGAAGAGAACAGGAGAACTTCGGATAGATCCACCTGGGGCAAAGGTCAAGCCGAATCCAGTTCAAGGAACAAAGAGGTCCGCAGAGACCGCCGTAAAAGACCTTGCTCCCAGAGTGGAAGAGAGTCCGAAGAAAACGTCTCAGTTTTCACATGTTCCAGAAACACCACCAGCAGGGTGGAGGCCAGATGCAGCCAGCTTGGTAAAAGAGAAGGAGATCGCAAAGCAGCATCTGAAGAAGATCATTCAAGGAACCTATGAGGCGAATGGCATTGAGATCTCTGAGCAAGAGATCGGGGACATCGCTCATTTGAGCATGCAGATGTCAGCAGTAGATATCATGGAGATCTACTCGCCCAAAAGGTTCACTGCGCTTGCAGAGCGCTACAAGTTGCGACCGGGTTTTGCGGTCGACTTGAATGAAATGAAAAGTGACGGAACATACTGGGACTTGAACAAGCCAGAAGATGTTCAAGAGGTGCACGACATCCTTGAGAAGGACGAACCGGCACTTTTGACTGGTTCGCCACCGTGCCATATGTTCTCACAGCTCCAGAACCTCAACTGGAGAAGTATGGCACCGGATGTCCGGAGGAGGAAGATGGACGAAGCCGTCCACCATCTCCATACGAGTGTGGAGCTGTATGTCAAGCAGCATCGCTCAGGGAGAAAATTCCTCCATGAGGCACCTGGGTCTGCGACTAGTTGGAAGGATGAGAAAGTCGCGGCCTTAGCAGAGGAAGATGGAGTGTTCATAGTAAAGGGTCCAATGTGCAGGTGGCAAATGATGGCCACCGACCGAAGAGGACTCCAAGGCACTGGCTATGTGAGAAAGGAGACCGGTTGGATGACCAACGACGAAGGGTTAGCCAGAGTCTTGCAAGGAGTCTGCTCGAACAAGTCGGGCAAAGGACCATGGCACCGACACATCCATCTGATCGGAGGTATTGCAAGGCAAGCAGCGGTATACCCACCGCCGCTCGTGAAGGCAGTGCTAAGGAGCCTGCGTGATACACTAGCTGAGAAAGGTGAGTTGAACGCCTTTGATTTGTTTGCAGCAGGCCCAGTTCCAGAGATGCCTCTGATGGAACCTGAGTTCGAAGAGATTTACATGGATGATGTGAACGGCGGCATTTTGCCAGCCGAGAAAGTGAAAGAGGCAAGACGCCTTGAAATGAATTATTTGAAAGAAAAGCATGGTGTTTATGTGACCCGGCCGAGAGCCGAATGTTTTGAGGAAACGGGGAAGCCCCCGATTCCAGTCAGATGGTTGGACACCAACAAGGGAGACCCAACAAACCCGAACTATAGGAGCCGATTAGTTGTGCGTGAGATAAAGGCAAGAAAGACCAAAGAAGAACAATTGCCAGCCAACTTGCTTTTCAGCAGCACGCCACCATTGGAGGCGATGAGACTGCTGTGCTCGTTGTGGGCAACAAAGAGAAAGTCCTGCCACAACCAGCCGCTGAAGCTGGGCTTGTGGGACATCTCACGAGCACACTTTTATGGAACTCCAAAGAGAAAGATCTACATAGAGCTGCCACCTGAGGACGAAGCCAGTAAAGATGGACAAACCTGTGGACTTCTTGTGAAGTCGATGTATGGAACACAGGACGCTCCAAATATCTGGCAGACGCACTACACAGAGACTCTGCAGAAAGCTGGTTTCCGCAGAGGCTTGTCAAATGCGTCAGTCTTCTACCAAGAAGCTTGGGACGTCAGAGTGATGGTGCATGGAGATGACTTCCTAGCGCTTGGAGACGCCCAACACTTGGAGAAGCTCAGCCAAGTCCTCAAAGATGCCTATGAGCTGAAATGTCTCGGAATTCTTGGAGACGAGGATGGAGACCGAACAGAAGCTCATTTTCTGAATCGGTTAATCCGAGTTGATAAGAAGAACGGCAAAGGATCGATTGTGATCGAAGCCGATCGGAGACATGTTGATCTTTTGATCCAGGCATTTGGTCTGGAGAAGGCAAATGGTGTAGAATCACCAGATGTCGAGAAGTCGGCAGATCAGCAGATGCTTGAAAGCCGCAGTCCGCTGCTTGATAAGAGCGAGGCATCAAAGTATCGTTCAGCAACGATGCGTGCTGCGTACTTGTCCCAAGATCGACTTGATATTGGGCACGCAGTCAAGAACCTTGCTCGAGGTATGGTATCACCAACAGAAGCCAAACTTGCTGACTTGAAGCGTCTCATCAGGTACTTGAAGAAATATCCTGATGTTGGGCAATGTTTTGGTTCGCAGCAGACGCCCTCAAGGCTGAGGGTGCAGGTCGATGCCGACCATGGTGGTGACGCTGTGACACGCAAAAGCACGACTGGCATGGTTGCTATGTACGGCATGCACGTGTTAAAACACAGTAGTAACATCCAATCCACTATAGCCCTTTCTACAGGTGAGAGTGAATACTACGCACTTGTGAAGGGAGGATCTGTGGGCTTAGGCCTCCAAAGCCTATGCGCAGACCTTGGTTTGAATTTGGGAGTCACCATCGAAGGCGATTCCAATGCAGCCAAAGGAACTGTGAATAGAGTGGGTTTGGGTAAAGCCAGACACATCCAAACTCGCTACCTATGGTTGCAAGAAAGGGTTGCCGAAGGCCACTTGAAGGTGCACCACGTTCCAGGAGTCAAGAACAAAGCCGATGTTTTGACCAAGTCGGTTCCTGGGGTGCAGCTTCGCAAAACCATGGAGGACCTGCAGTATGCATTCCTCAGCAGGCGAAGCAAAGGACAGTTAGATGTTTTGGAGTAAGGTCCCTGGCCAAGCTCCACTACCACAACTGAAAGTGGCTAAGCAGCGAAGAGTTTCACATGTTTACTTTTTATGCTTGCGCAGCAGTACAGTGCTTTGCAAGAGGAGGAGTGTTTGTATGTACAGCCCATATATACTCCGCTATAGGTACTGCAGACACGTGACTCTTGACGTATTTTGGCTCAAGGGAAAAAGGCGTTCCGTAACGTCGAAACCTCGTTTTCACTATCTATCTATCTATCTATCTGTCTATCTATCTTTCTGTCTATCTATCATTTATTTGCATTAATATGGGATTTTGCAGGAGCTCTGTTGGAAGGCTGGCACTCAGGTCTTACATCACGTACTGTTTGGAAGTTGGCATCTCAGAATATTTTGGAGCAGTGAGAGCGCCTCCAAGAAGTCTCATTGATTTGCACACGGCTGACATCAATAGTCAGATTTTGTGCAAACGGACCCACACCTCTGCACCTGAGGTGTGTTTGCACGTATTGCTGGCTCCCTGGTGAACGAACAAACCACATCACGACTCCGAGTCTACACATGACAGATTCATGCGGATCGCTGATTCACCTAATTCGCCTAACGAGTGGGAGCCCAAGCGTTAAAAGGGTGCCGAATCCAACCTAATAGCGACGGCCTCCAACCTCATAGTAATTTTTCAAAAGAGGCAGAGGCTTGTAGAGACCATTCCTTATGTTTGATCAGCACACAGCCCCTTTTTGGCCCTGCACTCATTGTCGATCTTTTCCTGAGATCTCACTGGTCTTGCACGAAGCTGGCTGCACCACAAAAGGCACGAGGATGCATTAAAAGCTGGTGATGCTGATGAAAGATGCACAGCTATCTCACTTCTTACAACTGTAGACTACTGGATAGGGACACCAGATTCCCAAAATTGCATTATGAAGCCTACCATGCAAGCAGCTACATGGACCAGAATCCTTATGAATTCTTGAGAATAGGAGGGGTGTCCAGTGTGACCCTGCTTGACATTCTTCCTGTGACAGGGGCCTGACGTGCTGGACCCGGGTGCTGCACCCGTGCGGCTTGCTTCAGCAGGCTGAAATGCGTCTACCCTGGTTGGAAGGTGAAGTCGTGTTTTTTCGCGCTTCGATACAACAAATGAAAAATATCAAAACACGCTGTGCCACTCCTAAAGAGTCCAGTGATTGTTTGTTTTGACGTAGGAGGAGCCTCCCACGCAAAAACATGCAAACAAAACATGTCGCAGGTGTTGTGGATGTGCTGGCCGAACTCATTGATGCACCTTCTGCTGGTGTCGAGTTGCCTGGGAGCCCAGCGATGATGTCCACCGATATGAACGGTCCGGTCGACGGATTTCGGTAGCATGGCTGCATGGGGTCTGAGGCGACAGCCACCACCAAGTTCCCTGGTGCAAAAGGCAAGGACCGGGTTGGGGGTGCGCACGACTGGCTTGCTGGCCAATCGACCAGTCGTTTCACCTGCAGATGGGCGGGTGTGCACCATACTCATCACGGTGAGACGCCAAGCAGAGACCTTTTCCGATCTTCAAACCGCACTCGGTGAGGCGTGTGAGACGCTGCAAGCCCTCTTCGAGCGGAACCCACACATTTGCATCTTCTGCATGAAGCACTATGCAGAGGCGTGGTGGATCGAAGATGAGAGGTTCCGCTAAGCGAGGCCTCAAGACAGTTGGGAGGAACCAACTGGTGCCAGGGGAGTCACGGAGTACAACCTGTTTCCGATTGAAGCAGCCATGCCCATGTTTGTTTGGAGATGAAGAAGCATCAACATGACTTGAAGCCATCATCACCGCTGAAAAAGCACCAGCCAAGCTAGACTTTTGAGGTCAAGCAAATTATTCTGGTGGGTTGTGACAGTGGGTGCCTGAGACCAGATTTGATTGAAGCAGGAAGCATCCTGCACTCAGAGAGATCAAGAGATACTATTTGCTGCAATGCAAACAAGGCTATTTACACCTATCGCACCACCAGCATTTGCATCACAACTGCTTGGCATGGACTGTTTGCTTCGTCGAGAAGCTGCAGCACCGTGAGAAGCTGCAGAGCATTCTTTGTTTCATTGGGCCGCTGAAGTATGAAATCCAGCACCGCCGGAGATACAATCCATTCAGTGCCAATCATGAAGATCCTGTGCCTCAGCCATTGACAGTAGCAACACCATTTTCGTTCCAAGGCATTGTTGCAGATCCCTTGAGTGATCATCCGGAGATGCAACAGGAGGCGAGAGGATGGTTCCTTCCTGGGCGGTGCCAGCGTGCTGCGGAAAGGGTAATTCGTCACAAACAAACCCCTTGATTTGGCAGGTCTTCCCAGCCTTCCCATCGCGAGATGCACCCAGATATACACATGATGCAAGCTTCGTATATTATGGGACTCACTCAAGAGATGCTCATGTTATGTTGATCCCTACCAGCTTGCACCAACAATGGGTGCCCCTGTCAGACATGGGGTGAGTGGAAAAAAACTCTGACGGGTTCACTCAGGCCATTGAGCTTTTCATTGGCGCCTTTGAGAAGTTCGCGATGAAGGCTCGCTGGCAGCACTTCTCCGTAGTTTGCTTGGTTCTCACATGTTCCCGCTAATGACTTTGATCATATCAGCTTATAAACAGTACCCGATGTCACAGTTGGGACTTTAGTGTCTAGAGGAGTGAAGGGAGTAAAGGAAGAACCATGGCTTGGATCCAAGCCAGACAGCTCTCTTAGTTCAGGTGGTGACCCCTGTTAGTAACAAGAAGCTACTAGGAACAAGTGCCACGCTACTAGGAACAAGTGCCTTACTAGTAGTAACAATAAGCTATTAGTAACTTTGGTCATTTCTTTCTGCGCTACTGTTGGCTTTGGCGAAACTTGGCGCACCACTGCTAGGATGAACGACTCAGTCGCAAGCTGCTGAAGGCGACGCTCTGGATTCCCTGTGTCTGCCGCGCTGGACTGCCGAGTGGGGTGTACCTCCATTTGCTCAAAAACAAACAGCTGCACCTGACACCTGCAGGCATTGACGGGGCTCTTTGAGTCCTCCTATCAGTTGGTGGCATGGTTTGGCGCCGAGATTGTTGTGGTGACACTTGCAGATTCGGCAGGGCAGCATGGAACCACCTGGAACCAAGAGACTGAGAATCCATCCATAGCAGTGCAGTGAGATTGTCTCAATATGGCGAGAGGTTCAAACAGATCCCAATCCAAAGGGAAACAAAACATAGGCTGTACTAGTAGCAAGAAGCTACTAGGTGGAGGCCATCGCTACTAGTAACAAGAAGCTACCAGTAGCAAGGGAATCAACACATATTTTGCACCATGTTTCACCCACTGGGCCCTTGGAGAGTGCCATGTTGAGATACATCACAGGCCCTCCATAGCTCTTCAAGGCTGTCACTTTCGTGTGTATGTTGCCACCAGTTTCATCCATTTTCCACATCGGCGTGGTGGGAATTTGGACCTATGCTTGAGCTGCTAGGGGGAAGTCAGACATATTTTGTTGCCATCTCATCGCATCGCCTCAGGTTTCTGCAGCAACATCCTCTTGGCAGCCTCTCTGAGCTCCACAGCCACAGCCCCAGCGGATATGCAAACCGCGCCAGCAAGTGCCACCATGTGCATAAAAAAAGGCAGTGGGATTGCCCAGACTTCGGCCGCCCATTCGCTTCTCCTTCAACAGCATTCGGCGCAAAGGCTTGGATGCCCACATTGAGGCGGTCCGAGTGGGGGACCCTCAATGCAGTCGACGTTGCCGGGCTGTCGCCAAAAAGACTTCATGGTAGGATGTTCCATGACGTTCCCGTATATGTCTCAATAGGATCCATACCATTGTAGTATATTCTAATCATCATCATCCACTGTTACAGGTATTAGGATAGACCCAATATATTGGGATCCATATTGCCAACAATTGGGATCGTTGGATAAACATGACATGACTTTATCATGTTTTAGATTGCGTGTTTAGATCGTGTGACACTTTCCCAGCCGATTCCTCTGGCTTAAGCTGAGGCGGTGGCACGGGCAGCCTACTGGAGTGCGGAGGATACTGATGGATACTGAGGTCAAAGCCAACCATTCCCACTACATGGCTTTATATCAAATGGGCAGATTTTACAACCATTGGGTTGAATGCCGATGTTTCTCTACCCCCAAACATTCACAGAATCAGTACAGACCTGGGGATGTTCGGCAGGACGCTCCATTGCTCCCCGACTTTGTGGCTGCTCTGGTGGCCACGATGTTGGATGCTGTGGAGGCTGGGATCGGGCACTCCAACGGAAGGATTGACCCGTTTAGCACCCGGTGAGACGGCAATCTCCGCAATTTGGGCACGTGGTCACTGGGTGTTTGACTTTTGACCCTATTGACATGTCAAAAGGAACTGATTTGCCTGTACTTTGTTTGACTTCCCAGAACTACAACGCACCAAAGACTGGAACATCAGGTAACAGCAAGTTTGTGACCTTTGTCGCTGTTTAAAACTCTCAGGGACCCAACCGATCCAGTCCCTCAAAAGCTTTGTTTTATGGGTCACCAGGTCGCTACCGTCACCACCACCCTTTTCCCATCCTGATTTGACCTTCGCTAGTAGGCTGGAGGCCATCGCTAGTAAGTTGGCAGGCCATTGCGATTAGGATCTAGGTAAATTTACTAATCCTTAATCATTAACACATCATTTTAGTAAAATTTTAGAAAAACAAATCTAGATCATTTAATCAATAATGATAATGAGTAATCATTACTAAATTATGATCACACTTTTTAAACAGATATCTTTTTCCCGAGAAAAGACCGAGTCGTTCCTCCGCCCGGGGCCCGAGTCGTTCTCCAGGGGCACCTGGACTTCGCGAAGCCTCCGAGCTGCACGGGGCGACGGGTCTGGGACGCCCAGCGTCGCCAAACGCGTCTGGTTGTGGCCACGAAAGGAGTCCTCACGGCGTGGGAAGCATGGGAAGTGGATGGAAGTGGAACGAATTTGATTTATTCTTTCATGTTCTTTCGCTTCTTTTTGTGAAGAACCAAGGCCTTGATGTGATAAAACATCCCTTTTGTTGGTGTTCCTATCCTGCCAGGTGGTGGACTTGACCGAAGCTGAGGAGGTCTGAGACGAGATGCGATTTCGGAGCCACAATGGCAGACCAAACAGGGGGGATGAACCCACTTTGCCTTGGGGCATCCCCTTACTCTGAGTATGTTTGAGCAAAACCCCTGTAAATATGGGCCGCACATGTCTCATTCCAGTGATCTGAGGCAAGACCAAAGGGTTCCTACATGCCCCCCCCCATCTTGGAAGATACAGGATTGCCCGAAAATCCGAATGCCAAGAATTGCTCTGACGCACATCAGATCGCTTCGAGCTGTACGGCCTCCGTGCTTCACTTGATGCTGAGCCTCCGGCACGTTTGCGAGTTGGAGCAGCGAGCAGCCACTTTTTGCGCCTACAGGTGTACTTGTGTGCCCAAGAATAGGGGAGAGAGGGGAGTAGATCGGAGTAGATCTGGCAAACCTCAGGCTTCGAAAGAACCAGGCTTCAACGAAACCACAGATGCTGTCGATGTCCGAAGCGTCGTCCGACTCGATCGGACCAACCGGAACAGCAAATTCGTCGCGAATGACAGGATCGACCCGTCACCCCCGACGGTGCAGCAGTCTGTGGCGAGAAGTCTGGGTCATGTCCTCAAGAAGAAGCGGAGAAGAAACACTGATCTGCAAATCTTGACACTTTGTGCTCTTCTCCAAGATGAAAGTCACTCAAACAAGGTCATACAGCCAAAATCTGCCACGGCACGTGGCATTTGAAGATGATTCATGCGGTGACCCGATTGGTGAACACTTCGCCAGTTTGGCTTCCTGGCAGCGCCCAAGGCAAGCGCCCTGCCAGGGAGGAGAACTTCGCACAGCACTTGGAGGGTGATTTCACAACTTCAGCATGAAAGGAGAGACGACTCAGACCACTCAGGGTAGGATCCATGATTGGCCTGATTGCATTCAACTAGGGTGGAGACTGTGGAGACTAAAGCTTTTTATCATTTTGTCCTGTCCGAGCACTGCTGAGGAAAAGGACAAGGATGACCTGCCTCCGCTGGAGGAAGTCGGGGCCCTGGGTGGGGCTGACGCCTCAGCCCAGCATGAGCTATGGTGTTCAGCCGTTTTTGCAACGTTTTTGTTGACCGTTTATGTTTTTCGGTTTTGGATGTTTTCGCGGGATTCTTGAAGCCCGGCCAAAGATGCCACTTTGCACCGGTCCCCTCAAGGCAAACCACGGGAATTCTGGTTTCGCCAATGGTTTCGGGTTCGGGTGCTCTTCTCTGAGGTGGATGGCACTGAGGTTTCGTCGGAAGAGGCTGTCAATACCTTGATGAAGATCATGCAGGTGTCGATCTGTTCGTTCATGTGGGAGAGTTCTTCGTCGCAAAACTATAAGTGAGTAGCTATGACTGGCTATGACTAGTTGAAGCATATTTTTCCCCACCCGAGAGGATTGAGGTAGCTAGGTTTTGGACAGTTTACTTGTTTTGACCTTGGCTTCGGAGCAGGGCATCACCCAGTACATTGTGAGACACCCTACTCTTAATCCGTGTCCTGCCAGCGGCCCGACCCAGTCATACCACCAGTGTCCCATCAAGAACTTGAAAGCTATATGGCTGAAAACTCTCAGAGACGTAATCTCAAGCCGACTCCACAGCAGCTACCGTGCTGTGACAGGTCTTTCCCTCTTCAGATCGCCTCCAAATGAACTGCCAGCACATCCTTACTTCCCTGCTGGGCGAATAAGCTCAACGAAGTGACCGGGCCAAGATGGCGTCCGGATGGTTTCACCTGGCGTCAATGCACTCGGCCACGGTGCTGCCTTTGAACAGTGAGGGTGCCCCCACTGTCAGGAGGGCAGCATATCATTTCAGGTTCAAAAATGGCTCACACTGCTTCCATACATCTCTAGAAGTCATGAGCACAACTCGTTTTAAGGGCTTTCAACACTCACTCTGGATTTTTTCCTGGAGAAGAATTGTCCCAGAGCATGCTGCTTGCCCTCAGCTTAAGCTTCTCAAGCACCAAAAGCCGCTCCAAACTCCCAGAAGTTCAGCACAAAAGCAGTTTAGCAAGCTATCGCCTTTGCAGGACACTGTTGAAGTGACGCAAATCATGACCAGCTGGCGCTTGTGAATTCTTGGTAGCTCAAGGTCAAGGCAAATTGACCCCGTGCACCCAAGACAGCCTCGAGAACAAATCTGACCTGGATGTTGTGCTCGCAGCTCAGATTGAAAGCCAAGTCTTAAGTCCCAACCCCTAAGACCTCTTAGACGCTTTGAATCAGCCGCGACGACGGCCCCCGCCGACCTCATGGCCTAGCGCTGAAGACCAGCGCCGCTTTGCTGAGTTGGGTAAAGCTGGTAAAGCCATGAGAGTGAGATCCCCCTGCTGAGCGAGTTTTGCAACCATGTGCAATCAGATCTGCAATCAGATGCCTGTGATTGCATTTGTATGTATGGTCAGTATGGTCCATGACAGCCTGATCTGGGCTTGCATGGAGTTGCTTCGGTATTCCATGATGAAGCCAGGAGCCGGCCAGGGGCATGGCATCCTCCACGATCACATTGCAAAAGATTGCAGGACGGGTCGAGCGAATCATAAGTTAAGTTCCCTAAGCCTAAACATCTAGGAACCAAATGAATCGTGCCCACTCCACCTTGTTTCGGGGTCGCAGTGCATTGTACCACCCATGAAGCTCCAGACATGTTGGGGATTTGTCGGTTTCCATCCAGTATTAGCTTCCGGTCACATCGGTGGAGGCAGAGGTGCTTTCCTTTGAAGGATACCGAAAGAACATGGGTGCCTTGCAGGAAACAACATCCAAATCCATGAAACTACAATCAAGCATATATATATATATATACAATCAATTATAACAATATATATATATATATAGTAGTAATGCCAGGAGCTAGTAAGTAGCGTCCTGGCTCCTAGTAGCGATGCCCTTTGCTCCTAGTAGCTTCTTGTTACTATATATACTATATACTTATTCTCCCAAGCCGGCCAGTGCAATGCTGAACTCCCTCCTTGGACACACTCCGTGTGCTCGCTTCGTGCTCGCTTCGTTGCTCTCCGTGTGGTCGACGTGGAAAAGGCGCGCACTCCTCGACCACGCCAGGAGACTGCATCAAGTCGGTGCGCTCCATTGTGCCTCCGGAAAATGAGGAGGAGGCGGTGGACCCTTGGCTGACGGGTCTGTGATGAGCATGAGCGTGATGCCAGACACCACCATGTGTAGATGAAGCACGTATAGTGTGAATACAAAAAGACGCCGGTGGTTGAAGAGACCCATCCATTGAGACAGCAAACTTGGAGCTGTTTGAACATGAAGAACAAACTCAATGACTCTCTCTCTCTCTCTCTAACATATATATATATATATATTTGTTTAAATACGCACAGTACCTATGCTCGATCCGTGCCTTTGGGGTTTCAGCTTCCTTTCAGCGCTCCAAGGAGCTCATCGTGAATATTTGGAACACCCTAGCGGCGCAGACAGCACACAGCCCCGCAGCGGCAGAGAACGAACTGGTTCACCTCGGTCGCATCCGGTCGCCATTCGGAACCCAAAAGCGAAGTGAAGGGACATTCCGTGATTTCTGAGTAATGCGAAAGTAAAGCTGAAGGAACTGACGTGCATCATCCCTTGAAGTTATATATGAATGAAATTGACATGTTGGTCGATCGAATCCTCGGTTCCAGGGCCTTTCTTGGTGCTGTCACAGGTGCTGTCACCCCCGTCTGTGCGTCGGGTGAAGCTGCGCGCGCTGTCTCCTCGGCCGCACGGAACCGAGGCCTCAAAGTGGGCAAGTCCATGTCACTGATGCCCCTAGGTGCCTCGAGGAATGGCGCGTGCGCGTGGCGTGGCCGGGTATTCGAGGAATGGCCCGATATGATGCATTTTGAAACACTGAGAACAGACAGAACTCATTTTCAAGGTCTCAGACCACATATCACAATTGCTAGGATGTATGGCAAAGGGAAAGGTCAAGAATGAGAGAGAAAAAGCATTGGTGTGACATTGGGATTTACCAATTGTGAGACGTGTTCTCTGCGTGACTGAGACGGACTGAGACAGACTGAAGTGGATTTCGAGGTGTGCTCTTCAGCTCTGGGAAAGAGATGGAGCCCCAGTTGGCGGTCTCGGAGCTTTTCCTCTTGCAGTATGGCATCTCGATGAAGCCGGGGGATCAGGGCCAGCCAGGCCCGAGTACCAAAGCTGCGCGCCTTGGAACGCACAGAGGATCCGAGAAGGAGGGACAAGGATAGAGAGGAATTATAGGGAATTGGTTTGGAGCGAAAGCGGAGATCCAAGTTTTCTGGTTTTCTCGCAGTTTTCTTTGGATGACCACAGGGATGTTCAGTTGTCGAGTTGTCTGCTTGTCGCACTTCTTGACCTTCACTGCCGAACTGCTGGAGACAACGAGTTCGTCGCTCTCACCAAGGTATGGAGAAATTGCTGCTGCGGTGCATGTGGCAGACAAAGCGATAATTCCAAATGTCATCACTGCCGTTCCTCGCCGTGACTCTTTGTGGCGATCCCCAAACAGACAGAAACAAACTCCAACACCTTCTTAAAGAAGATCGATCTACATACATACTTCTCCATTTAGCTATATGGGGCTTTTGTGCAGTCGCTGCGCGTTTGGCCTACTCGACTCTGCAATCTTTTGCCGCGTCGACACCCAGGTGATCCATCGATTTGGCGAGATTTGTACCCAGCACCCTTTGGTCCTGGTGGACTTCTCTCCCCTTGGTGAGTTAAAATGCCCGGCTCCTGGAATTGAGAGTTGTGTAGATTTGGCCGAAAAACGGGTCTAGATTTGTGGATTGATGCCCTGATCTCGGCAGAAGGTGAACTAAACTAACTAAACGCTGCAAGAGTGAGGGCATCTCCCCTCATGTTGAGAGAGACATAGACAGACCTCCCTACTAGGCGAGAACCAACGGATGGAGTTCTTGCCGCGCAACGCTGTCACCCTGGAGCCACCGGCGAGCACCGAGCCGGGCAAGACGGTGAAGTCGCTGATGCAACGACGAAGAGCTTCGGGCCAGGAAAGAAGCACAAAAGGAAAAGGTCAAGAAATGCTAAGTGCAATTAGAATGTTCAAGATGTTCAAGAACAAGGGTTTTCAATCATTTTCATAATATGCTTTCACTTGTCTTTTTTGTGTTTCATTGGTTTCGCTACTATCCGTAGTTGATGAGAGTTGTGCTGGTGGAATGCCGTGGAGTCGCTGGAGAATGGGAGCGATTCTGCAAACTAAGGAAAGCTTGACCCTTCACGGGAAGGACTGCAGCAGTGCTTGGTGGAAGCTCTCTGGACTTCTTTGGACATCCTTCACCCACCCAAAACCTTTTTACAAAGACCGAGAAAGGAATAGATGCAATGGTCCCTTCCCCTTGACCCCAAGCAACATCCTACAGGCTCTTTGAGGGTCTTAGAACTTGTTGTACACTCTTTGTTTTCTATGCTTGCGAGTCTTTGGATCAACAGCAAGCATCCAAAGCTTCCGGTTTAGCCCCCCAGCTAGTGATGCTTTATAACATATGCTGAAACACGTGGGGTCGGGGTCCGTTCTTTAGGGTCATGGTTCTCTTTAGGGCCTTTAGGGGACCTGCAGCAGGCGGGTTGCAAAAGTTCCCACATGATACTGGAGGTCGTTTGCATGCGTTGCCATTGAACCAAGAAGATATGACTTAGGGGTGACTTTTGCAAATATGCGTTCCCATTCAAGGGATGACTTTCTCGCTTTGCTGTAGCACGTTTAAAGGAACACGTGCTTTTCTTCGTGATCGGACGGGGGCACCAGTGGCCGCTTCGCGCAGGAGAGGCACCACCAGCTCCTCACAGCGCCTCCCAGCAGAGTTTTCATCCGGAGTTTCGTTCAGGTGCGCTGCTGGGTGGTCTTGGCAGGACAAGTTCTCCAAGAGAGCCCTGAAGGACCAATGTTGAAGCAGGTGACACCAACAATCTTTTTGTGATAATGCTGTAAATTGTTTTCTGATACATCATGGATATGAGGGGTTCTGACCGACTACACGTTCCTCCAAATTGGGATGAACTCACTACATAATTGCACTACTTTGACCCCTCACAAGCCACTGAGGGGGAATCATGGGGAATCACTCGGAATCACCCACAAGCATTTTTGAGTTTCATACCACCATCTTTGCTCGGATTTTGAGCGTTTGAAAATACGAATTCCACGTCTTTCCAACGTCTTTCGACCGCTGGACGGCCACCGCTGACGCCCCGCGGCAGTCCGAACCATCAAACCGCCCGACGGCTCGCCGTCCCACGGCCCTTCGCCGCGGCAGCGGCTCGGAGAGGCGCCGCTCGGGGGGGGTGCTCGGGGTGGAAGAAGGCCCCGGACCAATCCTAGGCTGATGCGTCGCATGAGGTCGCATGAGGGCTCTAAGGTGGTGGAATTAAAAAGCATGTCCATCCCTACTTTGGGGGCCGCAAGACTGGTAGAAGGACATGGTGACACGGTGACACGGTTGATTTTCTGGTAATATCTGGGCTGTGATTGGCCGCATCATTGTTTGCCACACGTTGCTCGTAGGTATTCGTTGATCGTCCAATAGAAGCAACCAAGCCCTCGCTGTGCCACTGCGCATAGGTCAGCCCTGTGTTTCGCTCCAATGCGAGTGTTAGCGCTTTGCCTCAGAGCCCGAATTGAGTCGAAATGAGAACCCAGAGATACAATGATTAATAGCAATGGCCTCCAACTCTAACCTAATAGCGATGGCCAACGCAGAGATACTTCTTACTTGAATCAAAAAGAACATTCAAGTGAGGTTTCACATCAACCGCATGGTGTTTTGGATTGTTTTGGCAGTCCCGCGAACCCGTCGCGTGTCCAGCTCCCAAGGTGCAGGAGATTCGAAGTCCATCATGGACAACATTTTTGTCCGGTCACATCCTGCGAAGGCTGGACACTGATGGAAGCTGGTGGCTGGCTGAAGCCATGTGAGCCATCCCCTTGCACATGAAGCTCCCAAACGGTTTGAATCCACCAGGACTCATCCGCAAAAATGGGGGAGACTTCCAGTCATCCATGTTGTGCAAGAGGGGCACGTGTCCCGGTACTTGAACCAGAACACCTTGAAGGATTTCCCAAGCGCTTGAGGCGATCGATTTCCCTCCGCTCCTGGACGAGTTTTCGCGGACGCTGGCAGCTCCTTATGGTGAGGCGTCCAACTGGCGCGGACCCGTCGGGTGAGGCGTCGATCCACCCGGTCAGACTGCCCCAAGTGTTTCGAGACTTTTGTGGTGGGTGCGTTATTTATTTATTTTTTAACAGGGGGTCACTCATATTGGGCACGCGGTGCAAGCAACATCTCAGATCCATCCAGATCATTCCTGCATCCTTTTGCCGAAGAAACCTTCAAAACGCTCACCTTCGTGGGTGTTTTTACATCCCAAAACACCAGCACAACACCGCTGGTTCGACCAGGCTTTCCCGGGTCTCGGTCCAATCCGGAGGATCTTCATCACGGAAGCAGTTCGGGCCGCATCGCCTCGCACCTGTCGCCCCTCTCGGGGATCCTGGCGCCTCGGCCGGAGCGTCGTGAGCGACGTCGCGCGGAGCGACGCGGAGGGAACGCTGTTCCGTGGGAGTTCAGTCGTTCATGGTGGAGATGGCCGGCATGTCAGGTTCAGTTCATGATACCGAAGGGCATTCAGCTGTTAAGCAATGTCAAGCAATGAATTCTGACTATGACCACTTCGGGATCATGGTGGTAGCACGCGCAACCCCAAAATTACAGAACGAGCGAAAGAGGCGCAAGACCTGCTGCCAAGGTGTGGAGCCACGAAGGAAAGTGTTTGAAGTGGAGACAAAGAAAGATCCCGAAGAAGGATGGTAAAGGCAGCGAGTTTCGCCACGTCGGGTCGCAAGTCGCCTCGGAGTCGTTGCAGTGAGGAGTCCTTGCGCCTCGCTGGGCAGATGGCCATTTCTTGCTGTTGGGGAGTATCCTGATGTAATCATAAATGGCTTCACAGACCAAAGTTAAGGCATCAAACAATCAGAGCTTGGATGGATGGTCTTAGATATGTTTTCCCCTCTGCGGTTCCACAGCTTCGCGTCCATTCGTCAAATTTGACAGGTCAACAGCCGGAGTATGCGCCGATGGACATTTTGGAGCGTGAGTTTGAGCACTCACAGATCCTCCCAGGCCTGTGAGGGTATGCGCGCTCGCGCGCGTGCGCGCCTGCCCGCAATTGAATGCATGCTGCACGGGGCTACTTGTAGCTTCAGTGCGTAGGGTTGGTTGTGGACTATGCCGACTCTGAATGAAAGAGTTCCAAAACAAGGACATGACTCATGACCAGTGGTCTCGGCCCCAGGGCTTGGTTTCACACTTCCTTGGAGGCTCCTCTCTGGAAGTGGAGTTGAAGGAAGCTGGAGTCTCCAGGTGCGTGGTCCTGGTGCGCTAGTGTGCTGGTTGGGGTGTTCACCAGCAGTAAGGAGTGTATGAATGCGGAAATATGAAGTGATATGTAGACGTAGAGAAAAAGAATCAGTTCCGTGGGGATCGGTGTTCTTGTTCAAACAGAATGGTGCTGGCTGTGCTGCAGTTTTTGCTTCTTCACTCTCATCCGGCCAGCTTTGCAAAAGGCGCACGTTCTATGGTGGCCTTTTGCGATACAACTACTATATAGCAAGGAAGCTCAGAATCAGAGTCTTTGCACGGCTGCTTTCCCCAGTTTACAGCACTTGCGTGAGCTGCTTGGCATGTCACTGTGTGCTTGGCATGTTTCACAGTCCCGCGCCGAGACCGATGGTATTTCCGATGCTGCAGTGGCCCCAATCAACAGCGAATGGCTGGAGAACGTAGGCGCCTGGACTCGTCCTGGGGGGGAAGACAAACCCACTGGGCATTGGAGTTCCGACCTTTGGCTTGGGTCGAAGCGGTGCCTTTGAGAAGGTCTAGAATTGAAGCTGGCGAAATGCAGAGAGAGGCGTGAAAACGCCTGTTTACTGCACAACTCCATATAGAACCTTTCAACTCAAATTTAAGCCTCAGTTCCTTTAACTTAGGGAGGTGGTTGAGAGTCTGAGAAATCAAGCCCGGTGACTCCCAACTCCATTCTTCACCATCTCTCTTGATCTCTCCTGATCTCCTCCACGCCTCAGCTTTTCTGGTGGAAGCCGACCGGCTCTTCAAAGACTTGGATCCACAGGCGAGGCGGCAGAAATGGAAACGACAGAAACGGAGACGCAAGATGGAACAGGGGTGGAAGATGTGTAGTGCCTAAATTGCTGTTGGGCAGTTGTGTATTTTGGTGCATGGGTGTGCCATGAAAAGGTGGTGCAATCCATCATGGAGGCAGTTGTAATTGAGATGAAAGCTGGGCAAGAGCCTCAGGTGCTGTTTACACTCGCTCGAAGTGAAAAACTCTATGACTTATCTGTGCATGTCATAGGTCAATACCCCCTGTCTTTGAAGAATCAGGTGAAGATGTCAAAAAATTGACCGGAATTGTCATTATTTTCCATGGTTCTGAAGGGGTTGGGCAGGGTCGAAGCTTGATCCACACTCATATACATATAGTTCAATTATTAAGTTTTTCCAGTGAGGAAGCTGAGCTCCTGCACCTTTCATCGTACCATACCTTTCCTTCAGACCAGCGACCATGAATCAAGGTATGTGCGCGCTTGCAAGCGTGCCATTGCAGACTACATCTTCAAGGCAGGGTCGAATTATGATGAATTATGTCTAATTGCGATCTAGGTCTAGGTTATGGATTTCTTTGACTCACCCTGATTCTTCCTGCTTTTAAAATCTCTGTGAGGGAAAGAGATTCCAAACCCTTCGGGATTGGTTGGGGGCACGTCCCATGGCACGATTGGAGGATCAAGACAGCCGTGAACGGGCCTTGGTGCCGTTTATACCATCGCCTTGCCCCAAGTGTGGCAAGCAGCTCATTCGACTCGTTCACATCGGACTTCATGTGGGACTTGACAGGAGTTTGTCATCTTGCTATGAGGTTGGAGGCCATCGCTATTAGTTGGGTTGGAGATCATCTATAGTCTATAGTCTATAGTTTGTAATTTTGCTTGATGTGCTTTTCAGTTCCTTTTCTTTAAAGGGAGATGTGACATGATGTGACTGTCACATGGATGGAAGGCTTTTTGCGTCTTTGGTTGTGCCCGAAACCAAGTGAGGCCCGTGCCTGATTGGGGCACGGTGCCTTTCGAGGGCATCGAGGGCACGGTAGGCGCGGAGTGGGTGTCGGGCCGAAGCTTCCAAGGCTTGGGACCCGAAGCAGCCATTCCACCACCTTCCCATCTTAAACCAACCTAGTAGCGTCCTTGCTCCTAGTAGCGATGCCAGGAGCCCCTAGTAGCTTCTTGCTCCTAGTAGTAAGGCCAGGAACCCCTAGTAGCGCCCTTGCTCCCATCTTAAACATTCTTAAACCACCTTCCCTTCTTTTTTTTGGCTGGCGCAAGCGCCCACACGGTATACTTGTGTGGTCGGTCGAAGTGCTGGCCCTGGTGGCCTTCGCATGGGGACAAACTCTTCAACACAAAAACCACTCATAGATTTCCTTTGGTGCGTCCATGTGCATCCAACATCATCCAACATCAGCGCCTCCTTACAACATCTTGCACACAACATAGGTCATACCCCGAACAAATGTGACTTGTAGCAGAGACAGATTGGTTTGTCTTATACACCTCAGCCTCAGCCCAATTCGAGCTGTTTGGGACCGTCTAGGCGGACCGCCGGATGAATGGCGGGATGGCATCGAGGAGAATCGCAACGCGGTGGCGCGGGGGCTCGGAGTCTCCTCGCGCGGTGGCGACTGTGACGTGCACGGTCGGAAGATGTCAGAAGTTTGCTTTTTAACTCAGCCAATATGAGATAATATGCTTCATAATGGTTCATTTCATGTTTCATTTCATGTTTCTTTGCATTGGTTTCGATCATTTGACTCTTCTGGCTACGAAGGAATTTTCAAGGATGGATGTGATGTGGACACAGACTGTATACAAGGTGCTTGAAGTGAGGCACATAGGGGCATTAGGGCATTAGGGCAGTTCCGGTCATTGTTTGAGCTTTGATTCAGTGGATGCAGAACACTGGTGAGCTTTCAACTCCGCTAACTCCCTCGATTGGCCGCAGACGTTTGGGACAACTTGTTCAGACAGACTAGATGACTGCCAGCTACATGACTGGATCATGCCTCCATCATTGAGCCATTAAGCTCTTCGCCACAGACTCAACATCCATCATTGGCGTGCTTTGATGTGAGTCGATGTGCTTTGTCTTGCGTCTTTCCTTCAGAAGACCTCCCCTCGAGCGATAAAGCTGTCCCACAATCCATCATGATAGTAACAAGGACGCTACTAGTAGCTAGGGCATCGCTACTAGTAACAAGTGCATCGCTACTGGGAACAAGGGCAACGGCATGACTACTATAGTAACAAGAAGCTACTAATAGCGCTACACCTTGCTATTTGTTTGGTTCTTTTAGACAGGTCTCTTCTCATGACCGTCCGGACGCATGTCGCGGCTACTGGCGGCCTGTGCCCGGCACATGGCTAAGGACGAGAGGACACGAACAGTTTGTGCAAACACATTAGACAGACAATGGCAGACATATTGAGCACAAAGCATGGCTCAAGAAACCAATCAATTCAGGCGTTCCAATCTTGAGCACTTCATTCAATTCCTTCGTCCTTTGCAGATAGCAGTGTGCTCTTGTGATTGGCAGTGTAACATGTCCAGACTTTGGCTGCTGGTTTATGTCCGAAAGGATGCAGGGCTTTGTGTCTTGTACTTGCCGGGCTGCGGCTCCCTGCCGGGTGGTCGCAAGGAGCGTTTCCTGGAGGCGATCGAGATGAAGAAAAGGGATTGATATTTAAACAGTATAATATGCCAGCATGGACGGTGGAGAGTGGAGAGTGTGTGTTTTTTGAGAACCCTAACAGTAAACTGTTTGGGGAATTCAATGTATTTGAGGTTGGGGATCAAAAGGAATGGCAGGTCCTGACCGAAGAGGACTTTACAACGTTTGAACACCGGACAGGGCCATGACCACTAATAAGTTGCGAAAGCCGCAGAGTTGTTGAGTCCATGATTACCCATGTCAGCCGCTCTACAGTAGGATGTCATGAACAAATATATAGATGTCATTCTTGCAAGGGAAAAGTCGATCGGCGTTCCATATTCACGTCGTCAGCCTTGCAGATGGCCTTGCACCGTTGAGAGGCCTATGCCGAGAGAAGGGGCTACAGCCTTCACTGCGTCGAATATTCCAAGCCTTTGGGCTCGGAAGAGGCGAAGAGACCAGAGGCCCTGGAACGCGTGGTGCGCGAAGAGCACCTGTTATAAACAGGTTTGAAAGAAGAGGTTTGGGCAGCAGATGTCATTCTGAGTCATTCTTCCGATCTTCTCGATCCTTGAGCAACTCCACATGAGTCCTTCAGACCTCTGTGGACTCCCAGTGGGTTCTGACATTTACACACATTTACGTGTGGCACTCTCGGCACAGGAAGAACATGTGTACATCAATTGCCATGATGAAGTCGCAGTAAACCACTTCGCTCAAAACCATCCCTCCATCCCCCTTGCCAGACCTCTGAGGAGCTCAGCAGCCTTCAGGAAGCCTTGAACGACGCGGAGGCGGCCATGGCGCAGCTGGAGGCCACGTGTGGCACCTCCCGTCGCTGGGTGCTGGTGGCGGCGTCCATGGGGGCCTGGAGACTCGGCTCGTCGCTCGCGACGTTTGGAATGAGACCTGACACCTCAACGTGCTGGGCGGAGGAGTTGATCGAAACAGCGGCGTCCGCCTTAAAATCAAGGACCCTTCAACCAATTTCTATTTCCCGTGGTTTTCGGGTTTTCGCTGGCTTCCCACTGTCACTGTGAGACCAAAGAAATGCCCCCCAAACTTCCTATACGTTGGAGGCCATCGCTAGTAGGTTGGAGGCCATCACTGCCAGTAGCTATTAGGTTGGAAGCTATTAGAGCAATTGGAGCCTCCCCTTGGAGCCTCTCCATCCGCACCCTGGCCGCCCTCAAGGATTGCCGCCGGCCTTGCAGGCCGCCGAGCCGCCCCGCGGCCGTCCGTCCCGTGCGTGGCCGCTGTGCTGCTGCTGGCGCCCACCGCGCCTTCCACGGCGCTGAAAGCGAGTCCAGGGCCACCAGGCGAAAAAGCAACAGCGGGTGGAGTCGAAGAATGGGCAGGATGCAAGGAGGTGGTTGGTTGATGTTTTTACTGTTGGCCTTTTTCCCGGGAGGCTAGGAAGTTGGAAGTTGGGCTGGTTTATTGAACTACCAATTTTTTGTGGAGGCACCTGCCTACTAGCCTCGGAGCACTCGGCGAGCGGGCACTATAGCATCAACAGCTTGGTGCCGATTGAGCTGCAGGAGTGGATGGGAGTGCGAGCAAGATTGGTAGAGCGACACCCCGGTTCTGCGCATTTGTTTGACATATTGATCGATACAATACAGATACATTTTGATTTGCCCTCTCTCTACACTACCTGGTCTATTCCGGAGGTCTGTAGTGTGCCTCCCTTGAGTTGATGTCGACATAAAATTATACATCCTGTTACCCTTTAACGATCTTTAAAGGAATGTTTTTGGTGCTAGTTGAAGATGCAAATAGATCCGCTACACTAGCGTTTCATGATCCTCCTGGTGGTGTAGGAGCACACTATTCCGGGGAGAGTGCCTTCTTCCTGTGTGGTGCGCAACTTGACTGCTCTGGGCGGCTGACGTGCTGAATTGAACAAGCTGTGATGAAATCCTGCTCTGTTTTCAAGGCATCATCCACGGTGACAAGGACGAAGCAATACCAATAGAAGCTTCAGTGCCATGTTTGCAAGCAGGGAGTGCTTCAGAGTGGTGGAGTGACTGCATGTTGTTCTGGGAAGAAGTTGGGAGCAAGAAAACCTTCAGGCTGTCCGTTTTGCTCCTGTGAACATGCGTGTTCTCAGGAATGCTTGGAATCAAGCTTGCTGGCCCAGAAAGTCAAGGCCAGAGCCCTGCCTTTTGGAGCTGTTTTTGCTAGTAGCAAGGCACCTTACCTTACTACTATAATAGTAGCAAGAAACTACTTGTAGCTCCTGGCATTACTACTACTTACAAGAAGCTAATGGAGGGGAAAACCATCCGTGGGATTCGAGAAGGAAGCGTGTTGCTTGTCGAGCTCACGAGGCCTCGTTGCGTCGGGTGGAGGGAGGCGATCATCGTCTCTCTTCGGAAAGCGAACTGCTCATCCTGGAGGAGACATTGAGTTGCCTTGGGTGGATGGGTGTGCCAAAGAACCTCGAAGAATAACCAAAGTGTCGACTACTTACATGTCTTGTTGCTGATATTACATTTTCCTTTGAGTAGTTGGCTGCTTGAAGGACTTTTGAGATTTCTGTGCTACCCGGCAGGAAGAATTGGACCAGCTGATAGCTGACATACAGCCCGACATGACCGATGCGGAAAAAGAGCAGGGACTTCTCTCTCTCGCTCACTCATTGGGTTTTGATATTTGATGACACTTGAAGCATTTGTGTCAAGTGAGTCAAGCAGCAGACTTTTTGGCAGTGGATCATGCCAGATGCATGCAGCACACGCCTTGTTTTTTGGAAGGTTCGGATCCTTACTGTTTGCAACCAGTCTGCTTTGCGGTTGCTTTACCTGTGGCCACTCTGACGCAGTCGGACGTTTTTTTTTTTAGACGGTCGGACGAATGAGGAATCGACGGAATCGACCCTGGAATCTCCTCTTTCGACCCAACGAGCGGAGCCTCTTCGCGGAGTCCGCACTTTTTTCGGGCCGATGAAGATCGATGAATCACCCCCCACGCCATTTGGGGGCATAAAAACGTCTTCGGTCGTGGAAAAAGGGATGGACTCGGTTGGACTTTCACTTTCTCTTCGTTTCGATCTCTTGGACTCAGTTGTACTTTCATGACATGGCTTTCTGGGCGCGCATTGTTCCACATTGTTCCACGGCTCGTCCGCTTGGGACGGACACTGGACCAATTCCCACGGTGCAATTTACACGTAATAGCCAAGCCTCTACTTAGACTTGGAAGAGTTTGGCAACTTCTAGCTCACCGAAGACATACTCATGCCATGCTGGTGCATTTCGTTCCTTGTTGCCACAAGGTATGGCACTGGTACTGGCTATGGGTCAATGCTTTTGGTTGACCTTCCGCCGCCTTCTTCGAGCATGGTCCGCCTCTGAGGAGTTGTCCCTTATCAGTCAGAATATATGTTTCTTAATAATCACCAGAAATGAATTGCTCACAGTTCATTGATGATCATTCGCTTGGCATCTCACTGCCAAGGTCGATATCGATCATTTCTCAGAAAGGCGGTGAGCCCAAATGTCCTATCTGATCTATCTGAATCTATTTGACATCTATTTGTATGTCCTGGTTTTGAGTGAAAAACAGAGACTGAAGATCCAAACCTACAAAAATGAATCGAAATTGACCAGACCTCACCTGTCCAATCGATACAAGTTCATTGAACAGTTTAACATATATATATATAGTTTAACCAATGTTTTACCAAAAGGCTTGGATCTTGCCGTTCCTCCCATCCCAGGCAGAAGTCCTGCTGCCACGACGTTTTCACCAAGCGAGTTACTCAGAGAACCGAACTTTTCACCGCCACGTGGCCGTTTTCACCGGTCCTCGCTGCGCGAGGTTTAAGTCCCAGTGGTTCGAAGAGGTTTGCGCCGTCCTGCGCGAGGCGACCGACTCGGGAGAGTGAATGTGTGCGGTGAATAGATGTGGCGCGGTCTTGTGTAGGGTGTCAACACTACTGTGCGGTCTTGTGTACGGATGTGTGCGGTCTTGTGGAGGCTTGCCGACCAGAACTAGTTGCTACTTGGGTGTCAACACCCCGTTCAGTGTTCAAGGTGATTGAAACCCTCAATGAGAGTCATGGTCTGGGAGCCTCTGGCCTGAGCTGTTTGAATTCTTCTTGCCCTATTACAAATATTGCCTGGCAGGAGAGCCTACATCTCAGGAGAGGCTGATAGACGCATGTCGTACCGCAAGTTGTGAATCCAAGTGACACGTGCATCACCAATGCAAAAAGGCGTTGGTCGGGTTGTTGACCTGTCATTGCTCTTGGACGACAGGAGCCCAACGGAGGCTCGATTCTTTCGGGGTGTACTGGCACTTCTCTCGGTCCAGTGCGGAGCCTGGTTGGGCAGATTCTCTTAGATGGGTTAGACCAGTGAGGCAGAGCAGAAATCTATAACTGTGCATGTGTACCCTAAGAGGCTTTCTGGCTTTTTGTATGATCTCTGATTACAGACTACAGAAGGTTCTATTTTGATTGCTGGGAAGGGGCGTTCACTTCTGGTCGCCCCAATACTCGTCTCAGGACAAGACACCTCGTGGCACAGTCAGTGCATGAATATACCGTCTTCTTCGAGCGCTTCAGCAATCCCAAACCCCTCACACCAGAGGAGGTGACAAAGTGCCGATCTCAGCCCACCATGCCCGAGCATGCCAGTCACAAAAGTGCCAAAAAAACAAAGCCATTGTCTAGGTCTAGGTGTTAGACAGCAGCTTCGATGTGCAAGGTTGAAGGATTATGAAGAGCGGGAAGATGCATTTCTGGTCTTCTACTCAGTGTGAGCTATCCGGTTCGTTTTGCCCAGCTTGTCGATAAATCGTCCGTGTTGAAAAAAGCAAAGAGCGACTCACGCTTCACTTGGAACTAGCAAAGATTTGAGCTGTCAGGTCGTCAAGCTGGTGCCCAAGGGTCTGGCTCACAGCATCTAGCGATCTCTAGGGGTCTCAAGAGCGTCGCCCGTCGCCCCAGCCGGCCACGGCCACTCGTGTCGAGGTGAAGAGGTGAAGCTCAAGGATTCCACCGAACGTGTGGTGGAACGAGTGCTGCGCGTGTCAGGGACCAAGTGGAAATCGGGAGGGGATCGTTGATGGGAGGGGGGTCGTGGAGGGGCTTAGTCCGTCAGTGTTCTTTGTTGCGTTAATGAGTTCGCCATGTTAGGTACAGGGGTGCCAGGTGTTGCCAGAGACACAATGATACAGTTACAGCTATTATTCTATTTTGATGTCCGTCCTGTGATGTCTCAGATAGACCACGATAGACATCGATAGACCAGTGTTGGTCAAACCAAAAGGTATTCTGAATTAGGTACAACAAAAAGAGCTATGAGGTTAGAGGCCATATGAGGCCATCGCTATTAGATGGACCATGATGGACCTGAATTAAGGTACAACCAAAAGCGTGCCCAGTAAGCTCTTCGACGTCGGTCGACGTCTCAGGTTCCGAGACTTCGTCGTGTGCCTCAATGACATCCCATCGCCTGAAAGTCGAGTTCAGGTGGGTCACACCGTGTAGAACATACATGACGGACAAACTCCAGTCGTTTTCCTTGTTTTGAGTACGAGCTGTGACCTGTGACCCTAGTATCAAGTTGTTAAATTACTTGTATCACGGACGTTGCATTGACATTGCCTTTTGTAGGATTTCCTCAAGCAACGATAGGTCCTATATATAGGTGACTGCCAAAACAACGATACAAACAGACGATACCGGAAACAGTTTTGACAAACATTGGACAGAGATATTTGACTGCCCCAGATTGACGAATACAGCGTATACGCAAGAAATATCGACGCTCCTTGCTGCCTCTTATAATATGATATACATTAGATATAAACTATACAATTCCTACTCTTTGCGGGGGATGCTTATCACTTGGGTCATGTGAGGCGTCAAGTGGAGCCAGCAAGGAGACGAAGAACCTTTGGGGCACTTACCTGGAAGAGCAGCATGTGCAGCAAGTAGCTCTCTCAGAACTTCGCTGCCAGGTGTCCTAAAGGATCCTAAAGTTAGGTATGTTTGGCACAAGTCATGTTTTGGATTAGGTGGGGCCTTTGGCCACACCAATGCATGGTTGCTCATGTCTTTACTCGAATAAGAAAGAGTCAAGCGGGTCCCAAGCTTGAGAAACTCACTGGAGACCCATCAGATACTCCCACCAACACCAGAATGACGTCACGTTTGGTCAGTCTCCTACATTGAGATCATTGAGAATAGCATAGAGACCATGCTCGGCTTCAGTAGATAGAGACCCTCGCCCAAACAGGGCCATGTCCCAATCGACCCTCACTCAAACCTTCAAAGGCCGAAAAGCTCATCGAGCGAACGGTGCATTTCAACATGGCCAATGCCAGCGAGGCCCGAGCGATGGAGTCAGGCCGAGTGAGTCATTGGCTCGCTAAAAGAGCAAGGCTTTCCTGCTCTTTTTGGCCGGGCTGGGAACAGGAACCTGAAGAGCCAAAACCAGGGTTTGGAGCCTCCAAAAAGGGTGACATGACCATGGGGGAAACATGGTTGGGAGACACCTGTAAAAAGACAATCAAATTCATTCAAAATTCTTCATCCAAGGGTGGAGGTGAACTGCAGCAGTCTTGAAGGCAGAGGCTCGAGGTTGTCCCGTGGCTAAACAATGGATTAAAAGAACAAGAAAAAGCAGCCCATCTTCTTCAACTCCTTGGCTAACTTCGTGGAGTTCGAACGTTCAGCTGCTTTTGCTTTCGAGGCAGTGCGGATTTATGATGAGCCTAAGCCCCAGGAAGACATTCGCTCTCTGAGGTTGGTTGCTTGTACGTATCAGCAGGGTTGGACGATTTGCTAGCTATTACTCAAGGGCACTCTTAAGCCACTCTCCAACCTAGTGGCAATGGCCTCCAACCTCTAGCGATCTGGTACTTGGAAGGTACACATATCTCCTCACAGAGGAGGATCGCATCAAGGAATTCGTCAAGGACCCGCCAGCCAAAGCCTTCTCCGTTCAGCTCCTTCTCCGTGAACTCGGCCGAAGGACTCATCCAAGACGATCCCCAACTTCTTGCAGAAGATCGATTCCTTCAAGGTCCGCCGAAAAAGGGTGGAACATGGATGAACATGGTGGAATCATGTGGAATTGATTTGGGCTGTACCACCATGGTGGGTGAATAATTGATGGAACATTTATTAGGCAGTGAAATGCGGTGAACGCATAATGGGCTGTACCATCTGGGCCTAACGCCTGGAACTCTGTCCAAACCACCCCAAACCTCCCCGAAAACATCTTGAAACAATCTAAAGCACTGATCTCAAGACCATGCTGCAAGTTTGTCCTGCTTCCGTGTCTTAAAGGAACTGTATACAATATTATACAATGCATTGGAGCGCAGAAGTCTATATCCTCAGATCTGAAGAACTTCATGTTCTATTGTTCCTAGTATACTTAAGAATGCTCCGTTCGTAAGGCCAGGAGCCCAGGAGCCCCCGTGACCGTCGCGATGCCCGCTCCGCACGCCCCTTTTTCGTCACCGCGCGCCCCGGCCGAAGATCGGACCGAGGCGGTGGATCTTCGGATCCGGTCGACGCCTGAAGAGATCTGGATACTACTAGCTTCTTGATGCTTCTTGTGAGTAAGGCACTTGTTCCTAGTAGCGTCCTACGCCTCTAAGATGGGTGGTGTGGATGGTGGTGTTTTCATGTTGTTTTACATCCGGGAGACGAAGACGGAACTCCCGCCCCATGGCCGGGTGTTTTTTCGGGCCGATGTTCCCGAACCGAACCCCCAGGGGGTTCGGAACGGGGAGGTCTCCCTAGTTTTTAGACACACCCAAGTGTTGGGATCGACCAGTTTCAGGATTTCTTGCTATTTGTTGACATCACCTCCGAATCCAAGGCCCATGGGGCCCGTACCCAATTTCAGGGTGGTGAAACATGAGAAATGGTGATAGGTTTTGGGTCCTGGATAAGATGTCTTTAGGGAATCAATACAAAACCAAAGTCTACTGAGCAAGTGTGGAGAAGTCACGTACTTTCGGAACCCTCCGACGGTTGACTACTGGTTGTTTCAATGGGATTTGAAGTGATACTTGTAGTGTATCATGTATGGTTTCATGATGTTCGATGGGCACCAGATGTGTCTCATCCTTTCTTGACTTTAATCCTTGTCAGGTCCCATGAAATGTCACTTTGCTCCGCATTCTCAGCTCGCAGTGGGTGCGTTTCCCTGCCATCGGGCCGATTGGGTCAGTACAGCGACGCCATGGAGGTGGATGTGAAGGGCGCAGCTCATTGTAGCTTTGGAAGATGCCATCAGTTGGATTTTCTTCCCTTCAAATGTGATGCTTGTAAGCAGGTTTTTTGCCAGGAACACTTCTCCTACACCAGTCACAATTGTGTAAAGGCTGATCAGAACTCAGTGCAGGTGATTCTTTGCCCCATGTGTGAAGCAGCAGTTCGACTGCGGGCGGATGAGGATCCGAATGTCACCTGGGACCGGCACTTTCGGCAGAGTTGCACGCGAAGCCTCCCGTCGAAGACGGGGCCTCCGCGTTGCCCTGTACCTGGATGTAAGGAAAAGCTCGGCCCTTCCAACAAGTTCGAATGCAAGGACTGCCGCCAGACGGTTTGCCTGCGACATCGCTTCCCAGAAGAACATGATTGCAAGACCGCTTTTGTCCGGCAGAAGCCACACACCAGGGAAACTCCATTTTCTGCCTTTGGAGCAGCGTCTGCAGCGTCCTCGTCTGCTCCTGCGCAAGCGCCAGCTCCACCGAGCACTGGGAAGAAAAAGAAGAAGAGCTTAGGACAACGCATCGGAGCCGTCTTCGCATGCTTCAAGGGCGATTCCGCGAAAAAGAGCTTGCTGGGAAGCCAGAGCTCTCAACGTTGAGATGCAAAAGAGGAAGAAAGAGTGCTGGCGCCGCTGTCGGCTGTTGGATGGGTAGATCCGCCATCTCCAGCTGGTCAATGTTTTGGTGGAGTTGTAGGATCTAACGCACCCACATGTCCAATCTCTGTGCTTGGGAGTCATTGGAGACTTCCTGGTCCATGCTGCCACGTGCTGAGGCGGGAACTTCCAGGAGAGATGCGAATGCAGATGGTGACGGTCGCAGCTTGGCAATGTTGAAGAAAGAGAACAGGACAACGCCTGGAACTGCCAAATTACCAGTAAAAACCGTGGTTCTGTCGGATGATCATGCATGATTTGCGGGAGAGGATGGGACCAAAATAGTGATTTGTCATAACTTCTGATCACTTTGGAGATGGTAACAAGCACAGTTCCCCTTCTTCTGTACTGTACCAGGACCCCCCCTGCGCTTTGAACCCAAACAATCACTTTAACGATCTTCAAAGTAGCGTTGTTTCCCCAAAGGGTTAAACTTTTTCTGGAAGGAATCGCATGTTGAACATATTGAACACGGTTGGGGCTTCCGGCCTGCCGACCCTCTTCTGATAGATGCTGTTGGTGGCCTAGGATTGCCGCGAGCTGAATGAGACCCTCCGGAGCCATGCTGCCACCTGCATGTCTCTCCTCTTGGAGCATGTTGCGCAGATGAACTTGGAGCGGAATGAACGGCTTCTTGGCCAAAACGGGAAGAGGTGTATCACTTGGCTGGAAGGACTTAGACAGAATTTGAATTGGACGGGAAAAGCGAAGAGAGCAAAGTCACTGGCTGCAAAGAAGAGCGGAGCAAAATTACAACTAAGCACAAGGCAAGAACCCTTGGTCAGGACCGTTCCTCACTGTACTGTAGATATTTTACATTATTTTACAGTTTCTTTCAAGATCCATGGATACCAAGGTTGTGCAAGGGCTTTGACTCCATAGTCTTTGACTCGGTTCTCAGCTGTCTTCAATATCGATTAGCACAATCTCCATGATGGGGGGCATGTTCATACTTCATTTCTGGGGGTTTGCTTTTCGACGTTTGGAAGTGACAGCGCAGATTGACAGGTGCCTCAGATGTCCCTTTCCAGCTGTTAGCTTCGGCTCAAGCGAACGTCGCATCCAACTGCTTCGTGTCATGGCCATGGCCCACAACAGAGCTTTGCTGCTGGCCTACTTTGCTTGGCTGGCAGTGTGTGAGGCAGGCTCCAGTCCAGCGAGGGTGGAGGGGGGTTACCAACCTCAGGTAAGCAAAGAACCATCTTAGCCATTGATCAAGGGATGGTGAGTACATAAACCATTGGGTGGTGTGCAAGAGTAATTTTGGCCATCAGTTGAGAACTGAGGAAACGGACACTTCACCACTCAAAAGGTTTGACCTCCAACAGTTGGGTGGCCCAAGAAAATCACCAATGGCGGGGTCTAGAACACTTCCTGAATCTGGTGGTCAACCTCATCTGTGGAGCCATGCGAAGTCTCTTCGAAATGCACAGGACTCGCTGGCCTCTTCGAATCGCAGCTTGGCTGAGGGGAGCTCCGCCAGCTGCAGTCGCTATGGCGGGGCTGCGGTCGTTGGAGCAGATCTCCGAGTGAAACAGTTAGAACTTTTGCACGTGAATTGGTTGATCCCTGCGAACTTCACATGTCCGTTTTGTGCAAATCTGGATGAGAGAGGCGAATCTGCTGCAGGGTTGAACATGAAGATTGCTCACAGGACGGCTGCTGCCCTTGAGACCTGAGTATTTTTGATCGAGTAGTTTCGGTGACAGGCTGCTCGAGCTGCTCACGATGCTTCAATCCCGGTGCGCGGCCGGGAGTCATGTGCAAAGGTTCGAGCTGCTCGTCGCAAGGTTTGCGCAAACAACCAAACGGAACCGAACGACGCCGGTTTTGCGCAGAAACACCGCAAAAGCACCACAACCGGCGTTTCCTTGGACCTGCCCCCTCATCATCCATCATTCACTGCTAGTGGCTGAGAAAGCTGGTGAATTGCCCGAGACAAGCTGTTTAGAAAAGTCGCCTTCGTAGGACACGAACTGGCTCGCGGATTCATGAATCAGTTGACTAAATTCTATATATAAATATACTCTCCTTTGAAGTCTTTTGGGTTCGACATTCGACAGTCAAAGCTCGGGTTTGCATTAACCGCACTCTTTGACTTGAAGATAGGGGGATCTATCAGAGCTGACATATATTGGACATGCAGCTGTTCGGCATCAGTCAGGAAATGTCCATTTCCGCGATCCTGGCCACCGAAGAAATCGAAGCCTTTCATCTGGAGTCAAGTTCATTAAATTAATAATATCTCCCACCTGGAAACCCAAACAACCAGAAACAAACGGTTGATCCAATATTGGCAGTTGAGATCCTTTACATACCAGCAAGTGTTGGTTTGGGGAAGCATCCATTTGTTTCTGGAGTGTTTCTGGTTGTTTGGGTTTCCAGGTACACATCACATCACCCTTTCCTTGTTCAGGTGGTGTGGGCTACTTCTGCCCTGCAGAGCCTGGAGCTTTTCGAGGTGGCGGAGTGACTGCGACCTATGCCTGCATGGATGCCTGGTTGAGGGAAACGGATTGGCTGGGTGCCGAGGTTAATGCAACTTTCGATAAGGGATGATCCCGTAGCAACACAGCTTTCGGGTGAGTGAATGCTCCAAACATGCAATATAGACTCCTTTTGGGTGACGACGGTGAAGACCCGGCCCACGCTGATGGTCGTTTTCGCCAGCCCAAGGACCGCAGAACATCGCGCAAGCTTTTTGGACCATTCGCGATGATGCATCGTCGACCGAGGATTGGACGTTCGGAAGTTCAGCGATGCGATCAGCTGAAGCAAGCTTCAGGGGTGAGTCTGGCCAGGATGCCCCTTGGCAACCACGTCCTGTGTTTCTACTAAATGGCCAAGATTCTGAACAGTGGGATTCATGGGTTCATATTAGGGTTCTAGGTGTGCATTGCTTGATCGTGCCAGCAATGGACGGGAAGTCCCTGGCTCAAGTTAGGCAAGGATCTGCCTTGTATGCTGACGGTGGTGTGTTTCCAGATGGCGCTGTAATAGAAGATCTCTCATCTTGCAGCCTGTAGTACAGCCCTTGTACAAGCTTCCCAAGATACAAGTGTTGCAAGGGATATCCTCGAGTATGCAGAATACATACTGACTGAAGAGAAAATGCCTGAAGCTGTCGCAATTCTTGGCCAGGTCAATCATAATCATAATCATAATCATAATCGTGATCCATTGAAGCCATTTGAAAACATGCTTTGGTGCATTGCAAGCACAGTGTCCTAGAAAACGGCAACAATGTGGGGCTCTTCTTCGAGACCTTTTTTGTATCTTTTCGTTTCAGGTTTACTTCGGTGTGGGCACCTATGGCATTTCTGGAGACCGGCAGCGTGGACTGGGAGCTTGCTACAGATTGAAGGCAGATCTTTCGGGGAAAAAGACTGGATAAAGACATTCATTGCTTTCGGTTTCGCGCCAACGACGTAGATGTGGAGCCTCGGAGCCAGTGAAAGTCTATGTGAGGAGTAGGTACTGTGGTACCGAATGAATGTATAGTATATATATATACACATATGAATTCGGCCTGCGAGTCCAGCGTCTGAGGGCATGAAAAGCACGCAATGTCGTCTGCACAGGTTGAAGGTGTTGACAAGGACATCATAGCCCAATCCATCAACACAGGCCAATGTTTCTTGGTATCCGGGAGATCTTGTCAGGCATCGATGAATTTCAGACGAGCAGATGAACCATGTTGGTGCGAATCATGGGCCCTTGAGTCAGAAACATGTCCCCGTTCTTCAAAAGAGCCTTCCTTTCCAGTCAAAACACTTTTGAACAGTCAATTTTTTGAGATTGCAGAGTAGGTTGCAGTTACCCAGCAGTTTCCTGGATGGTGCTGTTTTCATCGATGCTTACGACATCTTGCAAACCTTGGATATCCATGATGCTGCCAGGGTGGGATGTCGATGGAAACCAGTTCGACCTGCAAATTGCGGCGGGTGGGGCTGGAGCCTTCAACGTTTGTGCGGGCTCGGCCGGGAGCATGTTCTCTGGAGGCGGTGTGGCAGTCGAGCGATTTAGAAAGGCTTAAAAGGATCTTAAAGGATCGATTTGTAGGTCGGTTTGGTAGGGGGTCCACTGGGAACGACGCGCAGGTATGTCGGTGGTGTCCATTATTCCCACACGGAAGGCGTTTGGTAAACCAATGTTATCAATTTATCCGCCAGAACGGGGTGCTTCGACTGGGAACGCCTTTTTTTCCGATCGTTTTGACCATCCGATTGGAGGCAAAAGCGCCTGGGGCTGCACCTATGGTGGAGTGGATTCCGACGAGGCCTGTGCTGCACTCCCTGCGGAGCCTCGCAATGGTCATGCCACGCGAGCAGCGGGGGATTCACTGGTGAAGATGTGCCAGTATAGCTGGCAGAAGCATCTTGGCGTTGAAGGTCGCACGGAGGTCGATCCTCGTTTGATGCTGATGACTTTGGAGGTTAAAATCACGAGAATCAGAACAGAGCAAAGAGGGAGTTTGTAAATTAAAGCTGCACGCTGCAGCATGCCTTTGTCGTTTAACCTGCTCGAACACTCAGCCGTGTTCAACCCTGAACGAGAAGTGCTTGGCCCGGAACTCATGCAAACTCGCGGCGCACTGATCACGGCGCACTGAGGAAGGTGAGGCTTTCTGGCGCTGGTCTCCCAGCCGGCAAGTGCAAATACAATCCCACCATCTTGGACGTGTCCCGAGTGCAGCTTGACAGTGTCAGGATGGGATTGGCACGAGGTGTTGGACTTGCCGCGTATCCACACATCCGGCGCCAGACATACCTGCAGAATCCTACAGACAGTCATGAATTGTACAAACTAAGCAACCTCCATATAGACCAGTTTCTCAGAAGTACTGCTCAATCAATGCAATATGCCAACCTGTTGGGCCAGCCAGCCAATTCCTAATTCGATCTCTTTCGGTCGCCACGAAGAACGGCGCCGGTTGCACCCTCTAAACGATCTATCCAGATCTATCACCAACCAAATCCAACCAACCACTCCATTCGCCATTACCGGGGCGACCCGCCCTTTCCCCGCTGACCAAGGCGCTGCCCGGAACAGCTGGTGCAACTGACCCAGCTGCAGCGTCAAGATGATCCACACAGCTTCACGGCCAGCAGCTCCCAGCGGCCCAAGGGCTTTCCCAACCGTGGGGGATCCCAGAAGGGTTTTCGCCGGTTTTCGGTCAGCAGGGTCTCTTGGTACTTTTCAAGTACAGAAAACTTACAATAATTCTAAACACTTATTGATACTTATTGTAATATAAGTATTTCTTAAACAAGTAATCGTCATAGCATCCAGGACCCTAAGGAGGGTCAGTCTAGCCACTTGAACGTACCAAAACGGGTTGAAACTCCACCCCGTCGGTTGCCTCTGAGGTGACCAGAAGTGCCGTTCTGAAGATCCCAGCGCCGGTCTGGGCTACTGCCTCACACGCATGATGGACTGATGCCTGGACTAAATGCGTCATGAGATGTGTGAAGACAATGTGGCCCTTGTGGGGTGCTCAATGTGGCCCTTCTCATTCCACAAAAGGCTGTAGCATAGACATGAACATCTACCTCGCTGCTACACTCATCAATTGGCTGTTTTCAATTTGTTTTCTGAGTTCTAATTTGATGCGCCTATCGGCTTCATTGAGGCCGGAAGCCTTCTGGTGCTTTTAAGGACAATGTGCAAGCAGACCTCATGGTCCCCGGTCGCCGGCTGCTGCAGACCTGCACCAGTGATGGATATACACGTAACTGGACATTAGTAGCTTCTTGCTCCCAGTAGCGATGCCAGGAGCCCCTAGTAGCGTCCTTGCTCCTAGTAGCGATGCCCTTTGCTCCTAGTAGCGTCTATACTCAGAGAGACATGAGGGTGCTCCCTGCATTTGCAGTGTTTGTCGGCCTGAGACGCCTGACACGTGACGTCGAGACGGCCCGGAGCTGCACACCCGTACGCGCTGTGAGGTATCGATGTGTCCTGCGGCTGTGACGGCTGCATGTGCTAGTCCCAAACGGCTGCCATGGCTGCGTGGGTCTGGGGTTAGAGCCCTCTTGGGCTCAATGGAACTGTCTCAGAATGAGGGGCGAGAAACACCCGTGGGTAGGCGACCTCAAACTCGTTGCTTGGGGGAATTCCCAGTCTGAGACATCTTCAAAGGAAGGCGCTTTGCAGCGTGCCTAGATTTTCGATGATTTTCGCTTTCGATCCAGCCGGTAAGCCACAAGAGCAAGGTTTTGTCGCTGGATCTAAGACCAGTGCATTGAAGGTGATGCATGGTACCGTAAGGACACATTGGTGCGGTCAACCTGCTCAATGTTCATGGCTCTGAACGGACATCTTGGAAATGGCCGGCGGTGCTGCTCATAGAAATTTGCAGGCACCTTTTGATTGACCGCAGCCCATGTCCTTGAAACTAATCCCGCAAGTTTTCCCCTTTTTGGACCAACAAAGGCCCTTCTCAGTTGCAGCGCAACAGAAGTGGGCAGAATTCAACCTCCACTCCACAGCGGTTTGTGGCGTTCTGCACACCTGTGGAACTATGTGGAACCCAGCTAGTGATTGGCCGGCTGAATGACTGAAAAAAGAAGGAGAGCTGGCAGTTGTGAGTATTGGTTTGGATTGTCATCTCACTATTTGCTGCTCACATCGTGCTGACCCCCCTCACACGACAGCAGGTCACAGCAGTGGCGAAAAAGCATGCAGCCCAGTCAGTCGTGTCAAGTGCTTGCAGATTCCATACCAGTCCATGTGTTTGTTTCCAACAATGAGGGACCTTTTGGATTTGTCTCCAGTCGTATTTGTTCGTTCTGTTTCCGAATCGCCAGAGTTCATTCTTTTGGTGTGTTTCCGACCCCAAGACCTCGAACACACACACACACACACACACCTCTTCCACACACTTGCAAACCTTACCCCCCAAAAAATATTCCAAACACCAGAAACACCGCCCTGCTCCGTTCAGAGACGTCGCTGACGGAGACGTCCTTTTCGGACCTTCCGGTTTCTCAGGCCGACCAATGCCACGGAGTTGGTGGACATCGAGCAGCAGCTGGAGCAGTTCCGAGGCTCCACGCTGAAGGCGGCTCCGCCGGTCGGGCGCCGCGATTTCGAAGACGAAGACGAAGACGAAGAAGTGGTGTAGGCGTGAATGTAAGGGTTCCATGAACACAGGGAGACTTGCTTGCTTGTTTGTTTGATGAACCGCATCAGCAAACGGAAACGCCGCTGAGCTGTTGATTTGTAGGATGGGTTCCTTTGGGATGGCACGGAACTCGAACGAACATTCTTGTGTCGATGGCTTTGGCTGAAATGATCCCACCAAACCTGGTGGATCGATGCAGTTCGGTTCGTAGAGACGTGATCAGGGCAGTAGAGACCTGGCAAAGACATGTCCTGGCCATCAGGACATGCTGGATGAATTCCAAGACATCCGGGCTTGGCAACAAATGTGCGGCTCCGAAAGATGCCACACTCATGGGCCTATGGAGCTTTCGTAGTGACATGCCTTCCTCGAAATCCAACCAGAGGTTTAAGCTTCATGCTTTGGATAATTTTGGGCATATCAACGTGAAGATTAAGTATTACATGTTCACTCTCGCAGTGATGCCAGACCCTCCTATGCCAGCCCAGCAGGGCGTTGAGGGAGTTGTGCTGAGGTTGTACGATTGTGAACACTTGTTGACTCCGAGGGACTTCAAGGTGCGGCGGTACAGCGTGCGGCTGGGCGGAGTGAAAGCCCCCTTAAAACCCCCCCTGCCCGAATGGCTTCCACATAGTTTGACGGTCTATGTTCATTAATTGTCCATTTTGACTTGCCTCTGTTTTTGGAGGATCACGCCAGTTTGAGACATGACAAACACAGATTTGGGCAGCCAAAGATTGCCGGTGGAAGAGCCCCCGCAAATGGACTCTTCGCTTGATTTCGTTCGTTCGTTACGATCCTTTGACATGCTTGGACAGCTGGATGACAGTGGTCAGTCGGATCATTTTGCAGCACCAGGTCACCTGTCTTGGACTTTTTGCTCAAGCAAATGCTTCTCTGGTCCGCCAGTACCTGCGAAGACTCATGGAACGATGAGCAAGCCCAATGAAGCACCAAGGCTTTCTTCTACAGAACAGCAGAGAAGGACTCAGGTTGACATAGCTATGCGAAGCAACTTGAAGCAACAACCATCACAGCTGGGTCGGACATGCTGGCTGGTCAACACTCTTCCATTCCATTCCTCTGGCTATACGGCCCATGTTCTCTACATGATACATGTTCCCAATCAGGATGGTTGGCATGTTCTCGTGATTATACTCCTATACATTCCTATATAACAAGGATGCTACGAACGGAGCATTTCGGGCATCGCTACGAACGGAGCAAGAGGACGCTACGAACGTAACAAGGCCCTTTACTCAACCGTTCCATCAACCGTTCGTTGGGACCCAGTTGTCCCTTACTAGTAGTAACAAGTGCCACGCTACTAGTAACAGGTGCCTTACTAGTAGTAACAAGAAGCTAGTAGCAAACAAGAAGCTAGTAGTAACAAGTCCATCAACCGTTCCTTGGGACCCAGTTGTCCACGACTTGCCTTGGGCCTTGGACGGTGCAGCGGTTCAACGATGGGATTGGGCTCGAGATGACCGATGTCCTCTCTCCAGTGGGCAAGCTGACGAAGGATGACCCAGAGGCCGGAGAGAGGTGAAGATCATCACCAGTGGCTGCTTGAAAAAACTGGCTTTCTTGTAATGCCATTCATAGGGTTTCTAACGGTTTTTGAACACCTCCGTGTGGGCCAGTGTAGCAGGAAAACAACAGAACCATTGTCCCATATTGTCTCTCCACTCAAAGATGACTGCCACGCTCGCGTTTCATTATCGCCTCCAGGCCATTGCACTGACCTTCGAGGCGGCAGCGAAGCCTGAACTGCATCGCTTTGTGGAGGCGGGACATGTGAAGCGCCAAACAGGACCACTCGACGTGAATCATTTGAGATGGCGTCGAGGTGGATCTTGGGGATCTTGGGGTGTGAAACAACCCACATTTTGGTGTCCCACCACTCGCGCAACAGATCATGGAGCTCCCCATGCACCCCTTGATACACAGTGGTATTGGGTATGAAGGCGGTGACCCACAACTTGGGTAGCTTGTGTTTTTTCTTGGGCCTTGGTCCATTGTGCAGGGGGGAGATGGAAAGTACTATCGCCCAAGAAAAAGACCCTTTGAACAGAAACCACCAGGGAAATCAATTGAACTGTTTGGACCCATCTCGAAGATGACCCACTCGGACACCCGAATAGGCTCGGAGCGAGCCAAGCAGAGGAGACCTTCCAAATGTCCTTGGGGTGCCCTGCTGGTGACCTCCATCCAAGCCGAGACGGAGTCTAGCGCTGGTGTCTACCGCTTCCCTTGTTTGATCCCGGTTCTGGGCAACATCTGAAAGCCCGCTGGTAGCCCTTAAACAATAGAACACACAGATCAGAGTGATGTGCAAGATGAAGGCGACAGGTCATGACTCTAAGCGGATGTGACACGTGTTGAAAGACAATGAAAGACACCATCAAATTCTCCAAAGAGTTTCAATACTTTCTGAAAAGGGGATTTCTGTTAATTTCTAGTAACAAGAAGCTACTAGGAACAAGTGCATCGCTACTAGTAACAAGTGCCTTACTAGTAACAACAAGAAGCTAGTAGAAACAATATATAGTATCCAAGGATTGGGGTCACTCCAAAGGAAGGACGTTCAGCTGCTCACAGCATGGAACTGCCGAAACACCGCGAACCAGTGAGGTCTTGACGTCTCCTGAGAGCGTTCGTGGCTGCCCGGTGAATCCCGAACGGGGATACCTCCAGGCGATGGTCGACCTTGTCGCGCCTGAAACGCGCATGTCATGAAAGATACGATTTCGGCCGGTGGTTTTCTTGGTATGTTGGATTCAAACCTTCTTGAAATGCAAGTTATCAAGACAGGGTTTTGGCATAAGGAGACTCTTTGATCTTGCCAGGTCCGTGGAGTGTCTCGCCCTGTCGACGAGTGTCGACGCATCGCTCCGACCTTTCGGCCGTGGCCCGTCGCGGAGGCCTTGCAGAATGCCGTCGGCTGGACGATTGGGGGCTTTGACACCCGGCCGGTTCCCGAGGCGCGGGAGGCTCTGTAGACTCCGTCTTTCCCGGCTTAGAGTCGACTTCGACTGCTTCACCAGTATAACAAACGTAGTATAACCAGTATATAATATAGTCCTGGTCCAGTAATCACATTTAACTTTGAATAGTAATTTTAGTTGTTAACTGGTGTTTTTGAGTGCCCTTGAGGCGATGGAGCAGAAGAAGAAGGATCGCTTGCAGATCCTGCCGCCTTGCGGCAAATCAGCCTGTTTGGTGTACAGGGGTGCAAAGATCACAACACCCCAACAAACACATGTCACATGTGAAACTTGGAACAACCCATGAGCAGCTCATGTATGAGCTCACGTACTTCACCCGAACAACATGAACTGGGACGAGCTGGTCTGCATCTCCAACTGCAGGCTCTCCTATCGCCAACAAGAGGTTGGATGGGGCAGTATGGGGCAGTGGGTGGTCTTGTCTCAGGATTGTGGCCACCCTGGTATCCTAGAAAACGAAACTCCAGCTTTGGTCCTTTAATCCTTGTCCACCTGTGTAGAAGACTTGGCTTGACCCTTCGTGCTTGACACATTTTGAGACCATTGATTTCATAGGATTTCATAGGATTTCATAGGCCACTGGGAGGCTATGCGTTCGAGTTATGCATAGCAAGCCAGCATCACCCTTAATAATCCTTAATATATATATATATATATGTGTTTGTGTTTTTAATAAATAGATTTAAACCATGTTACATCCACTGTTCAACCCCGTCTTGAAAACCTTGTTCAATCAGTTTGAACTATGCAGTTTCGCCTGGCCCAGGCGAGTGAAGAGAGTGCGCCGAGAGTCAGGACGATCGGTCCAATCACGTGCCATCGCCGTACTGCAGCTTTCACTATGATTATAGATGCATCGAAACAAGAAACCCTTCTCCACGATCTCAACGATCAAGAACTGGCGCATTTTTGTAGCCGATGCTGTTCAGGGAGGCCACAGAGTAGAATGGAAATCATGCAAACGCTGCTGTCCCAGGATGTATGACTACCTGTGCGACACTCTTTTTGGTATTCCCATGAGGCCTGTGAGCGCCGATGCTTGGCGGGGAGTGGTGCTTTGCTGGATTTTTAAATACATGATTTTGCAATCAAAACATATACTTGTATACATTGTCGATCTTGATGACTTGTCCGCCAAGTGGCTGTACCCAAAGAAATACTGTTTGCAGCAACTCTGACTGAGGAAGTGGAAATCCCCGAATATCGGGACCTGGAGGGCCAAGTGGTGCGGGGCAACTGGCTCGAGGCCGTCGTTGCCGTGGCCGTCGCGGTCCGGGTCGTGGCCGCGGTCGCCGTCGGTGAGGCGGACTTCAGCGGCTGGTCGGAGGGTGCCAAGCCTCGACCTGCGCCAGTCTTCGCGGCCAACCGCTACCCTTATCAGCTCCCCACAAGGCGTTTGTGACTCTAAAGTGAATCTGTGTAGCTTTGTTGGATGAGAGAGGAAAGATGATGAAAGACTGCAGAATGACGGCAGGACAGCAGAGACTGAAGTCCAATCTGTGGCACAGCATTGGTTGCTATGGTATTTGCATTTTCCCTGGGAGGAGGCGGGACCCGCGAGGACCGCTCGATGGCTTGCTGGCTTTCTTGGCTAATTTTGCTCCGCTGTGAGGTGGCGGACTTCCCAGATGAGCAGATCGACCAGGAGAGACCGACCAACCTGTGAACAAAGCCAAGCCCCAAAGATCCCCAAAGATCCCCAAAGATCCATATGTGTCCAAAGTCATCTACTCAACTTCCCTGCAAGCAACCCAGTATATAACTTTTGCATATGTTTTCGTTTCACAGCCACATGATATAAGTTTTGCAAGATTCCAGGTTCTCGGCACTTCTATACTACTGTATATCACATATACATACATATACAAGGTGCAAGCACCAAAAATCCTGCGTGTGTGACCACCCACGGGATGTGTTCCGTCACTCGGCACCAGTTACAGGATGTGAGACGCGAGGTTCAGCTTGTGGTCCGGGGTGCCAAGTCATGGGGAGGAAGCGAGTTCAAACGCCCTCAAGCAGCGACGTTTGGGTGGCGCCACTGGTTATTTGTGTTGTTGTTGTTGTTGTTACTGTCGATGTCGTTGTGGTTGTTACTGTCGATGTCGTTGTCGTTGTCGGGTTGTCGCGCCGAGCTTTCTCGTTTTGATTCTTTCTTCCAATGGCAACCTCCATGCCAATATCATTCACCAGCCTTTTGCAGCAGCCTTCAAACTTTTTCAGCAGCTCTTAACGCCAACCATCCACATATCAGCTTGCACCATGATGGTCAAAATCGGGATGGAGAGCAAAAAGGGCAACGAGAAGTGGAGCCAGTATTGCTTTGTCCTTCCCTTTTTCGAACCCTGCGCGATCAGCATCGTTTTGGGCACGGTCTTGTGCGCTTGGATATGATGGCAAAGCTGTCCAATGCATGAGCACTTCTGGATGATTGACCAACTGCTCAAAAGCTACGTCAAAAGGCTTCGGGCCCACTGCTGGAGCGACCAAGTTTGACCTGGCTTCGTCTGAGAGCTTCACCCACAAGCGCTTGTCAGCGTTGATGATCTGCT